GCCTCGTATCCTAAAGTTTCAAAGATGATTTTTTATCGATTAGCGGTGCAAAGGTATTCTATTTCAAGTATATATTTTTATATTTATTTTAAAATCTTAAGTACTTCAAGTACATTTTTTAGGTTTTCGAAGATTGTCTCAGAGTAACATGCCAGTTTAACTCACGAGCAGCGTTTAAATTTTCGTATTTTTTTAAATAACTTATGTCTTCTTTTTAGATAAATTTTATTTAAACGACAAATTGTTCTCATTTATCATTTCAGAATCATAAATTATTTTGGATGGGATAAAAAGCCGAAGTTTGGTCACTCACATTTGCCAAAAATCTACAAAACTGAATTAAAGGCGGACAAAAGGAAAAATATGCTCATTTCAATCATAATGTCTTTCCTTTCTATTTTGCTTTGCTTTTCCATACCCTTTGCTGTATTGGAGTCACCTACAGATATTTTTAGAGAGATGAAGTGGTATACTTTTTACTCTATAGTTTGTTGTGTAGAAAAATATTTCTTTATTGTAAACGTTACGATTATAGTTGTATTTATAATCTTAGTCTATGTCTCTTTGGACACAGTCCTCGAGGGAATAAGAAATACGAATATTAATATGAGTCCGTGGGTGGAAAAAGGCAAATATATCGCTCTCAATAATTCAAACAAAAGAAGGTATAGGTCTTATTTAAATTGTGATTAACTGTGAATAAACATTAATAGTAATAAATGAGTTTCTTCAAAAATTGTTTTACTTCTTGCTTTTAATTATTCGATTTATCCACTAATCCTAACACGTAAAAAATCAATTTTATTTGTCCAACTAATTTGAGTAAGTCTCTCTTTTTGTATATATGAATGCGATGATATATAAGCCAACTTCTTAAATCCATATATTTCCAAGGATTCCACCCTCTTTTCTTCTACTTCATATAATTTAAGTGACCAATTCTCGCGAACTTAGTAGACCGTTAGGTTATTCCATTAATTTTGTTCTTTCGTACAGTATTGAAGAGAGTTACATATCTAGCAAACAGATGTTTTTCAGATTTTAACGTAATTAAAAAGAAGAAAGAAAGAAGGAGAGGAAAAAGCATAAAATAAGGTTTGAATCTGATCTCGGTTGGTACTGTTATAAACAATACCACATTTTGTTTCATATTTTATCTGGTTAATATTTATATTAATTAATTATTAAATCACTTAATTAATTAAATCTACTTAATATTTTATGTAATTAAATAGTAATTACCTTGATGAAGTTTCTGGAAACTTATTAACTACGTAAGTTCATCAGTTAAACTTTATTTATACGTGTGGAACTATATAAATTAATATATATATATATATACATATATATAGTTAATAACATACAACTATTGCTTGTTCCATATGATCTGCTCTTAACCACGATTTGCAAACTGTTTTTAGTAATCTTGTTAAAGTCATATAAACTGTATAAAACATGGTCAGAATAACGATATTCATATAGAGTCATTTTTATATAAGGAAAATATATTCAATAATTTCCATTTAGATAATATAGAATCACTATTATCGAAGTATATGTAAAATTAAAATGAATGTGTTACGTCAAAGAAACATTGTGACTATTGAACGAATATTGTTGGGGCAACATCGTTGTATAGATAAAATATCATATAAAGAGTGACGTTTTTGAGTCGGTGAAACGAAAATCTAGCCGTGCCAACCAGAAAATTTCTTATACCACACAAGAAATGTCATGATATTGCTATTCTAACATTGAGGGGAAAAATCATTTAGACCCAGATATAGGTTATAAGTTCTAATTGCGAATATTTTATTATAATATACTTATATTTAAGTTTCGTCCTCTCGTGGAACTTCTGGCTAGTCGTGAAACGCATTTTATATTTTACTACCTTTCCGCCCGCAACTTCGCCCGCGTGGTGTTCGGTTATATCGCGTTTTCAACAGAACCTTTCAAAAGACTTGGATAAAAGCTATCCTATGTTCTTTCTCAAGGTCAACTCACTATATCAAATTGAATTATACATCAAATTTCATTAAAATCAGTTCAGTGGTTTAGGGGTGAAAGTGTAACAGACAGACAGACGGACACACAGAGTTACTTTCGCATTTATAATATTAGTAGGGATTAACTTAATATTTACTTATTTTATTTATCCCGGATTTTAAAATCGACAATAGATCTTATATCCAGATATTCCGATCTCTTAACATTTGATAAATACGAGAAAAACAACAACCAGGTAGGAATCTTTAAAGGATTATAAAAAAGATACAAGATCTTTAAATTTCTAAGAAGCTATATGATAGGGTCTAAATTTTTATTTGATATTTATATAGTTTTATAAGGAACAACTTGTTTTAAGAAAAGGAAGGAACAAATCGTTAAAATTTGTTTGGAATGAATTTTAGTTTTCTTACCTTTCTAAATTTTGTCAGGGTGACTTTTCTCAAAATATTCAGCTTTTGCATAGCTTTTTTCGAAGGTTTTGTGTGCGGCGATCGAATCAAGACATTCCGTAACGAAAATGAACCTAGCACTTAACTTCAAATGTCGTTTCACTTCGGAAGACTTAGGCAAGGTGCTTCTGACTAACCATATGCATGTAGTCTAGCTGCTAACTTCTCATAACAGATTCTATTTCTTCTTGAGAAATAATTCTAGGTGAAACATGATTACTTTTTGACCGCGTCCACAAGTGAGTTGGAAAAAAAATCATAAATAAAATAAATCAATAATTATAATTGCATAAGTCGATAAAAACTCTAGGTATGTAATAGCTTTACCACGGCAGGCTCCGAGTGCCACGCGTATATAATTTTTATTTATGATGTAGTTATTCCTTAAAGTTGTGTTGACATTATGGGTCATTTTCTATAGGTATAAATCAATTCTAGGGCTTACAATAATTCTTCAACAAAGCCATTCGAAGTTTTCTATTCCTTCTTAATGTATTTTTTATGAAACCTAATGCTTTTCTTCATTAAATTTATTTTACTTTCGGATCATCTAAGATTGCAAAAACTTTAAACTTAAAATTCAGATCCCCATATATTGATTAGAAAAACGAAAAATTACGCTACTTTAAAAACATCAACTATTCTCTGACATGCTTGAAGATAGGCCTTACAGCAATCAATAATTGAAGGATCATTAAAAATAACAGGAGTGGATGTATAGAACGTGCAATTTGTTTTAATTAATGTTTTGCTACGGTAAATCAATAAAAGACAGTAATTTCTAATAATTAACGATCATTTACTTCAAAATATTCATATTAATTACACAATAATGCCCTAAATCTGTGATAATCGAAACATAGGTTCTAAGATAAAAAATTAAATATCTTTTCCTATAACCCTGACGACATAATATTATATGACGTTCAACTACAAAAATTATAAGTAACCGAGCGTTGCGTAAGTTTTAACAAATGGAACGTCACTCTCGCAGCAATTCCTGAAAGGGAAAAAATATATCAATAATGGCATAGCATGTTATTATATAATTAAATGAATAATTCATATTTATATTCTATAATAAAATGGAAAAATACTATTGTGTTTTAAGTCTTGTACTCTTAATTGTGATAATGTTTTGCTAAGTTTTATATTATGTATATTGTGAATATTAATACGTGCTTTTAACTTTTAACTTAACACTGTGAAGTTTTTTTTCTATAAATAAAGCATAATAGTAGACAGTAAATATGTAAGTGTCTGTTTTTTAGACTGATTTTATTTCAGTTCAATTTAAATAAATTAATAAATTAAAAAAAACTCAAAAGTGTAAAGGGTTTTTGAAAAACAAATTTTTAATAGATTTATAGTAAATAATTTATGAATAATTTGTCTAATTTGTAATAAAGATACTAAACTCATTTTTGATTCACATACTTTTTAACAAAAAACAATAAAAAAAATATATGATAATAAATTTAGATGGCAGGATTACTAATAAATAGCCGATAAAAAAATATTTTTTCAGTTCCATAGTTGCAATGAATGGATGTTTCCCAAAGACAAACACTTCCTCAGAGACAGTTTACCTTTATCTGGTATTGGTTTCCACTTAGTCCTCTCATCAGTAAATATATATATAAATCTATCTAGAGGTAACCTTCTCTATTTCTATCAATGTTTCTAAATATAATATTCTTTGTGAGTCTAACCATAATCTCTGTAATTTGCTGTAATCTTTGAATACTTTTTCCATTTCAATAATGACTTAATGACTTAATAATATTCTAGAACAAAATTTAAAATGTTTAATGTTTCTGCCCTTCTACCTTATGTATTGTATTGTATTCTACCTAATATCCAATATCAAGTAACTTTAAATTATTTGACAACAATTTTCTTCAATATTATTTCTTGTCTATTTCACACTAAATCTCTTATATTTTGTGTGTATTTCTATAAAAAAATGCTTCGAGAGATTTGATCTCTGTGTCATTCAAAAATAGCCTCAACGATTGTTCCTTACAATTATCTCTTTGGAAAAATAAAACATTTTTTCATATATGTATAAAAAATTAATCAACTACTTATGACACTTGTATCTTGTCATACGTAAAAAATATATAAATGTTATCTATACTACATATGTATATGTATATTAAATATCTATAAATAACTGTGGATATGAGATTTTCGTAGCCCCAAAAAAAATATATATATATATAAAAAGAAAAACAAAAAAGATTTTAAACTGTTTGATATTATTATTTATAAAACATGTTGTGAACACAAAACAGAGGGAAAATTAAATAAATTTAATATCTTGAGTTTTATTTAATGAAACTTAATTTGTTAAATCAATAGGAAACAAATAAAAACTTTTCAAAATTGATATCAAGACAGAAACTTGTATATTATACGTTTCTAAAAACTAAATTATCTATACATTATTTTATACATGTGCAAAAAAAACAATTTGAACCAAAAATATACGCTACTTAAAAAAGCGCAGTGATGTATAACCTAATGTATATGTACTTACTCGTCCTCCCAAGGACAAATGTCGTTCCGCTGCTTACGTTCACTGACTGCGCTATCGCATTTAACAATGTCGGTTTCAGAGACCGACGACAGTTCATCACTATGAGCAAATTTCACCACACTGGGATCTGACTCCTTAGAATACGTGGAAACCCTCTGCAGCGGAGGCACTTTGTCGATATTGTCGTCATCCACGCCTATATCTTCGCACACGGCGAGCGGCGCGACTGCGACTTGTCGAACGATTTGCGCTTCCGTAGGCGCGGCTGCCATTACCAGCGACTCGGAAGCGTCTATTATTGACTCCGTTGCAGACACCTCAACTGACTTCGAACTAGTCACTTCGCTATCAGCCCGACTTAACCCAACATTTCGTATAGGCTCATCCTCCTTACTGAAAGATGCCTTAACCGGTGATGGATTTTTTTCTGAAACTCCCTGTGGTATCGGTATGCGTACAAATATCTCATTCTCAGAAGACTGTACTTGCTCATCCTTTGAATTATCCCGCGATTGAATCTTTGAGTTCCGACTAGAATCTACCGTCGATTCCGATCGTGTTTCGTCACACGAGTCAATCGACTCGGCGGCGAGCGACGCTTCAAAGGACGCTGTTCTCACTTCCACTTTCAAAACATTAGTCCTAGTATCAACAACTTCATCCACTGTTGGACACCTATCGGTGAACGCGATCGAGTGTTCCGTGGGCGTGGCGTCAGCTGATGCAAACACTGATGAAGGTTCTTCAGAGTGAGCTATCGAGCGTCTGTCGTCTGGAGAACCTGTTCGTGTTGGTGATTCAGCGGATTCGTCATCCGGGGCTGAGCTGACGCTGATAGTGGGTGTAGGATGGTGAGGAGGGACGGGCGCGTGTATGGGTTGTTGGTGAGCGCGCGTGTATCGAGGTGAATGTGGCGGTGATGATAACGGCGCGAGGTGGCGCGGTTCTACAGCTGATAATCGTCGGAGAGGTGGTGGCGCGCCTCGTAAGCCACCATCCAGTGTGCTCTGCTGAGGAAGTCTCCGTCGTTCGTTTGTAGCCAACGCAGCGCTCACATCCGATGACGAACTCCCCGAGTCTGCAGTCGAGTCTTGCCGCCGTCTCGCCCCGTACCCACTATCCCGAGTCGAATTCTCCCAGGGCAGTACATCAGCTGTGTCATCGTCCAAAGGATCCCTAGAATTAATTAGTCAATGATGAAATTTCATATAAATACTAGAAGACCCGGCGAACTTCGTATCACCCTATAATCAAGTAATATCTGTTACGTTTTTTTTTATTTACATTTTTGGAGTTTACCTATTAAAGCCATAAATCTCCGTGTTTTGAAGTGCGACAGAATGATTGACATATTAGTTACTTGTCAGATCTAATATCAAAAAAAAAAAGTTTGTATAAACAACTACTGATAAATTAAAAATTAATTAAAAAAACATTTTAAAGCGGACGAAATTATGAATATAAACCATTCCCAGATCCCATTGACACACACACAAAAAAATTAATAAAACTCGGTCCAGTCGTTTGAGAGAAGTTCAGTGACATACACACTCACAGAAGAATTATATATATAAAGATTAGCTTAGATGAAGGTGGCAATAAATTATCATTTATCTAACCTGAATGGTATATCACATAGATTGGACTGTGAGTGGCTGTGTGGGGGCGGCTCGGGGGCGCGTGGTGGCTGAGCGGCGCAGACAGCTAACTCATGTGCAGAACCAGATAACGAACGATCAGAACCACGCCTTCTAGTTAATGCCCCACTACCGCTACTGCCGCTCGTAGATCCCGGCTTCTTCTTTACTTGACCGCCGAAATTGAAAAATCTGAAATTTATTAAGTATACATTTATTAGCAAAAAAGCATAAGCACTCATCTCCAAAAAAATTAAGTGGATTTTTTTTGAAGAGTAATCATATTCTGAATAGTATTCTGGTTTTCATTTTTTTAAGCTTTCATAAATTCGTAAAAAAGAAAGTGTCTCAGGTAGATTTAGTACGTATTTTGTTGTTCAAGGTTCTCATAAAAAGTTTATAATTTGAGACTTACTTAGCTTTCTTTTGATGCACATTTCTTCCCTCAGCCAATAACCTTTGGAAGTGATCGGATCTAATGAATCGCGGATAGCAATCCTTTTTCAATAACAATCCGTACACATGATCAGCCGCGTGATCCAGTGCGTACCTCGATCCACTACGGATACCTTCCGTAACACGATCCGCCGTCGCTCCATCAATATTGATCTCGCAAGGCGCGCCTGGCTTTAAAAACTCCCTAAAAATATACTGTTTTAAGAGATATGGTTTGACTGAATAAATTTTTTAGATTATAACCGTAAGTAATACCTCTGTATATGTATTTTTTTAAGTTTAGAGATTTATTTAACAAAACAAATTTAATAAGACCTGTGCTACTTTTAAGTGTATTTAGTTTTGACCATTCATCTTATACTATTCACTTAAACAAAACAATATTTCGTGACTGCTAATATATATTGTGTAAAGATATTATATACATTGATTGTGAACTATCGATGCTAAAAAAGCGAAGTTACATTATATCAAGAAACGATTGGGGAGAACAAAATGAAATAAAAAAGTTTATAACATTACTATACTTGCAAAAGTATAAATAGAATGGATTAAAAAAATATATAAAATTTCCATGTTTTAGATAGTTGTGTTTTGAGTGTGAAGCTAACTACTAAATGTATCTTGAAGAAGACCACATCTTATACATAGTACTCACTCATATATTTCTTCAAGCTTCTTAGGTATTTGCTTAGTACTACTTCTTCTAAGATCCATAACAGCTAACCAAAATCGAATATTTTCGTGAGAATATTCTTTTCTAAGGAAACTCGTAAACTCTTGAAGACCAGTAGGGTCCGATACTAATTCCTCTATAGAAACAGCCCAACGCTGAACACGTTTCTCGCTCGGTACTTCAACACTGGTGAGAATACATCCAAAAAGGTTTTATATAATAAAAACTTAATTTAATATCATATATTACTTGGTACATACATGGGACTGTTGATTTGCCAAAAGAGAGTGTCATCCGTAATCCAAGGATTGGATGGCTGTGGTTGTGTGAGCCAGGGATCATAGGCGGCGAAGGTCTCCGAATAAGCCATTAGAGCTTCGAGGGCAATTGAGGTCTTCACACGCGTACGATCCAGGCTAGCCTTTAAATGTTCAATCTGAAAATAAGAACATAAAATAGTTCTTTTTTTGAATTTATTTCAAATCCTTTTTAGGCTTTTACGTTCTTTTTTGAATTCATTTTATATTCTTTTTTTTATGTATTTATTTTATATTCCTTTTCTGAATTTTTTTTTTGAAATAATTCTACAGTCTTTTTTTAAATTTATTTGTTAGTTCATACACGAGTCCCGCGAAACTATTAATGAATTGAATGGTTATTTACCACGACGATACTTTTTCATATAAAGTCCATATCTGCGGTAAGGTCCGTTAGACTTAAGCTGAGCTTTGCATTGGTATGAGTGAAAGTAAAAGTAGAGTAAGACAAAAACTTTTAGAATTCAATTTTATTATATTATAAATAAAAACATAACATAAGTGCTAGAGCTAAAGCAAAACTTGTAAAAGGCCACTTTTAAATATTACGAATATTATAGAAAAAAAATTATTAATTAATAAAAATTTGACATCACACCTACACCATCCGTGTGCACTCACTCAAATGCAAAGCTCAGCTTAAATCAGACGCACTATAAGACTTAACATTTACCTGATTATAGTTTACCAAATCTATTTACCTCTCTAGTGATCTGTTGTATGGTTCTCTTCTTAGGTTTCGTCGGGTGTCTAGCTCGTACCGGTACAGGACATGACTCTAGGGCTGTCAACGTGCCCGGCGGTGGTCGAGCCACGCGCCAGTACGCTCTCTCCTGACTGTCGCTTACTATCTTGTCACCTTTTTTTCGCTCTTTGGCCAACCGCACCTTGATTATGAACAATAATGTTTTTTTATATTCTAAATTTAAAATACAAATATCGCCTCTTTTACGTTCTGCGTCGTAATCTTCAAACCTACTTTTAAAATTTTCTGTTGAACAAAACAAGAAACTTTACTCTTCACAAGTTTACTGTGATCATAGACAAGAGACCCGAGTATAGACTAAAGTAAATACAGATAACAAAATTATTTCTTGTAAATACTGTCCTCAGATGAATTAACACATTAAAGTAAATAAAACTATATATTCAACTTGAGTCAGTGGTGGCTCAATGGTTAAAGGGTCCGCCTCTCGGCCTCTCGTCGCCGAGGGCGCGGGTTCGATCCCGGCCCGGGCAAGTACCAATGTGATTTTTCCGAATCATATGTACTTTCTAAGAGTATTTAGACATCACTGATTAATGTTGATTTCCAAAAAAGGGTTGATGTCAGGCAGGCGGCCGGTCGTAAAAACAAATAGCCAAAAACTATTCACAACATGTAAGGCAGACCCTGGCTATAGCTGGGAAATTGCTAGGTAGAAGAAGAAGAAGAAAACTATATATTCAACGTAATAATAAGGATACTCTTGAATACAAGTGTTTAGGGAACTCATGTAGGGCTATAATCTTGTTTGCATACCTGTTCTTCCGCTTGCATAGTAATAAAGTCCCATTTAGCAGCGAGGTTCTTCTTTAAGTTCGCTAGTGCTTCCTGTTCATACTCCTCCAGGCCGTGGCGTTGTTTGTTTCGTAGTGTGCGTTTCACGAGGTAGATGGCGTATTCGACGTTATCAGGGCCTAGAGCCGGTGCGCCCGAACCAGCTCCGGCCACGCGGGGACCTTGCCACGGCCAGTAGTATGGACTCTGTGGAAAAAAACGTCTTCTGTCATATGTGGTTATATAGAAAAGTTTGGTATTTTCCTATAATTCTGTATCCTAGCAATAAGATATTTGTTATGTATACATAATAGTTCTATTTGGAAACTATCCTATACTCGTAATTCTGTTTCCTACGAATAGGATATTTGTCATGTATAGTACTTTTATTTGGAAACTACATATATAAAATTCATAATTTCTGATTTCTCAATTCTCGAGATGGATTTTTATATCATAAACTACTGATAAAACGTTTTCTGTCATATGTGGTAACATTGCAACGTATGGTATTTTCCTATTATCCTGTATCCTAGCAATAAGATATTTGTTATGTACGAATAATGTTTGATTCGAATACTATATAGTATATACCTAATGTCCAATTTTAGATTTCTGATTTATCAATTCTCGAGATGAATTTTTATATCATGAAACTGTTGTGAAAAGTGTTTAATTTTTATTTGTGTATATCTTTATTCAGGATATTTAATATCATTTTACATTTTGGAAGTTATATATTAAGAATATTCTCACTTTTTTCTTTACTCATTATAAGCAATGAACTGTTTTTAGATTAACAATATTTATTAATAATCTGATTATATGTTAATTGTGTGTATTTGGTATAAGAGAAGAGCGGAGAAATTTTCAAGAATATGCACAGGTAAGATCAGTGAGGGTATAAATAATAAAAAATAGATCGTGCATTTCTAGGTGCTCTTACAATTTATGTGGGGATGATTACTCTATATACTTACTTGAAATCTAAAAAGAGAATTGTCATCCTTTAATGCAAGGACTTTTGAATCGCTGACAGGAAAGAGGTAACCATATTGACATAGCTGATTTGCTAAAATCAATCCTTCCGCTGAAAAGGAATAAACATTTTATTCACAGCTATACACTGCTATAGTATTCAACTAAAACGAAAGGCCACAGGTTGGTAGAAAAGTAAGATTTGATGAAAATGTGTAAGCAAAGGAAAAGATAAAATGTTAAAAAAAGAAAGATATATGTATACTTACAGTTGTTAGAATCGTCTACGTTAAATCGCTCCATAATCCATTCGATAACATCCGATGCTGAAATAAAAACAAAGCTAATATTAATTCATATAAATCTTTAATTGTAAATAGTTTATGAAATTTTTCAGTTCTGTTTCAGTAGCACCAGAAATCACCATGAATTTTTTCAGTTCTTAGGATCAAGTTTGGTTTAATTCCAATTTATTGTGAGTACTCGTAGAAGGAATTTCGTTGTTTTTAATACTAATGATAATTAATTTGATCTCACTTCAGTTATATTGTTTTACACAAACTGTTACTGTTTGTTAAGTAATTATAATTATTAAATGAAATACATAGATAAACATCGTATTAAAAGGTTAAATTTCAAACTAAGATTGCACATTGGTGCAAAATAAATACGATATTGCACTGACATAGCGAAATCTGCGACGAGACTGTTTGCAAGGATTTATTATATGTATATAATAGTATACTTATACAGATTTAGAAATTGCTTATTTAAGTAGCTACACGCCAATACGACAGTTAAAGAGATTTCTTTTTGAATGAACATTTAAGCGAAAAATAACTACTATTATGAAAACAAAAGTATTTTTAAATTTAATTGTAACCAAGTTATGGGAAATATTTAACATTTTTTTTTTGGGTTATTAATTTTTTTTTTTCATGTAGGTTTCATTTCGAATATAATAAGTAAAATTCTTTGCCTTACATTTAGTTAACAGGATTAATAATTATTTTAAAAAACTTACCCGCAAACGCAGAAGGTACGTAGGTCAGAAAAAGTTTTTGACTTCGAACTGGCACACCGGTCTCCGGATCTTGCATTTCTTTAATTAAACTTTCCATCTGTTAAGATAAAGAACTAAAGTTTTGATAAACAACTAAAGTGAGTCTTTAAAACATCATTTGGAATATTATTTTACCTGTGTTTTATGAATGACAAACGGTAATATTGTGGGTATTTTGACAAATTTTAATTATCTTTTCTGAATGATTTAAAATAAAACGGTTACAAATTCAACTATATCATACAAATGATTAGTATTAATGACATGTATTTATAGACTAGTTTCCCTTATTATCTTCTATAAACATCATTTTTCGTTTTTTTTTGATAAATGCTTTTACATGGCAATAGTTTTTAAATTTAATATCTTGACATCAAGATCAATACACGAAGCTATCTTACACCAGACTGATTAAGGTTTTCAAGCAAAGATTTTGTAAATGAAATCAAAAGTATAAATAACAACATCAATTATTGTATTGCGCTCGTTTTTAAAAACTTACTAAATTAATCAATATTCATACAAGTCACTAAACGTCGCTTAAAACTGAGGCAATCTTTTATTTTGACATAAACCTCAAAGCACGTTTATGGGCAATAATATTATGTACATTCATCATTTTAAATTCCAGACTTATTAATTATTAAGTTAAATTTCCTAATTATAGATAATAATTTTGAACTTTATCTCAACATTCATTAATTGTTGCTGTTTTCTCCACAAAACTCTTAACAATTGCATAAAAAAAGCAATAAAAAATTCATTCATCTCGTTTTTAAACTTATATTTTCATGTTAAAATTTAACAAATATTACTCGTGAGCAAACGTCCTCTTTAAGTAAGAAAAAAGTTAAAATGTCGTCACATGCTCTTCCCGGTACTTATCTTTGCAGGCGGAGTGGAGGGTCTCAGAAAAAGGGTCAACTTGTAAGAGCCTCTCCAGTCAATAAAACCTTTTTCATCATGAAGACAATAATGCAACGTTATCTATAAATCCCAAAAGAACCCTCACTTAGTGTCAAAAAGATTGCTGAATGCGGTTTCAAAAATTATAAAATGAACAGGCGTTCGTCTTTTTAAATGTTACATTTACAGAATCTCCGGCGTTATTGTTGTATTATTTGATACATTTATTTGTTGGTCTTGATTTTCGTCAATACTCGTATTTTATTATATTATAAATTTATCGAATTTAAACTTTAAACCAATTATGGAAGAAAGTTGTGAAACAAAAAGTACAAAGTGTATAATGTATGTCACATTTTTTTATATTAAGCCTTATAAATCACTACTCTATTTAGAAATGAATTATTTTACTAGCATCGTCATTTTGCGCAATAATTTAATCGGTGTAATGTATGAAAGAGTAGGTAACACAATAATTCGCAACATAGTAGGCCAAGTACATCTTTTCCCATTTTTGTTTTAAAATATACTTCTATATCTACTATGTTCAAAGAGATTGTATAGGTTTTATTTTATATTTAAGCAAAAAAATACATATATTTATTTGAATTTAGAAACCACAAATAAAGTTGGCAAAATTAAAGAGAATAGGAGAAATTTCAATACGTTGCTTTTCTTCGTACCGAAAAGGCATTGGTGTAGAAATTCCTATTAGAATATTGTTAAAACTAACGCATCAAATAGTTGTATTGAGCAATATTAGTGATGTTTTTGAGGCTACTTTGATAACCTGGCAAACTTTTACGGTCTCTTTAAACATCTAAACAAAAATCTAAAAATTAATAAATGTTATATGTATGTGTTTTTAGATTCTATTTTATTTCTTTATGTGCATTCTTGAAATGTACGGTAGAAATTAATTTTAAAGACATATCATGGTCTTGATATATACATAAATCTTGATGATGATTAATCACAAATAACCTTTACTAATTCAAATCCATTTTAGATAGTATAAAGTTTCTTTTTTGTTGTACGGCTGTCGATTATGGTAAAAAGGTTCTGATGTGAGAATGTGAAAAAGAAAAATCTGTACAATATATGGTGTATATTATTAATTATTAACTCCTTATTAAAGCTGTCATGCAAAACACAATATTTTTCTGTCCAGACCCAACTGAACCAAAAAAATACATCAAAAGAATAACTGAATACTCTAAATATTTTTGCAGGGAGAAAACTCAGACGAGTTTCTAATTAGACTCCTTCTTTACATAGAAATTACATAGGCCTGACATGAAATAAAGATGCCAAGATTGAGGGTTTAACTAAACCTGCATATGATCATGAAAGACGTAATGAATATAAAATGCTTAGGGTTTATAGATTTAGACGATTCCATGAAAGATGTCAAAAAGACATATCATAGGCGTCTTTTGTGACTTGACTAATTCTCATCTAATATTCAAAGGAATAAAAGGAATTAAAACTATAAAATATGTCTGATTGTAGACGTAAAGCCTGTTAGATTACAATGTTCATACAAGCATAGAATCATTTGAGAGTTTCCTTCCTCATTGATTCAAATAAAAAATATATTAAAGCAACACCTAAAAACATAATAAATTATTTGTTTGCGCAGTATACCGTTATAACAAATTTAAGGATCGATATCTACGCGCAGAAGAGTGGCCGATTCATACTCTTCTATAACACTAAACTAAGAAAATCAGACGATGAATCACAAGACTCGAAAATATATAATTTCGAATTTCTATTAAATTATACTTTTTGGCGATAATTAAAATCTTTGGAGTCATTTAGAGTTACTGAAAAAAGTTACAATCTAAGATAGCTTTAGAATTTATGTATTAAAAATACGTTGCATCTTTTATCAATTCTTGCTGAATTATTAGGCAGGTGATTAGATGATTAACGTCTTTCTAACTCTTCTATTTTGTATGTAGATTTTAGATGTGTGAATTCGTGAAGGTTTGGACGTTGATTCGCCCCCGGGGACGCAAGGCTAAGGCGGTTACGTCACAGATCAATACTCGGATTCGAGCCAACCAAGCGAACCTCATTACTTCATTGCTCAAGATTATTTGTTTTGAATCACCTTAACTTTGTAGACTATGTATGTATAAATCATACATAGAACATATATAGATAGATTACAATGGAAAGTCTTTTAAAATTATGAAACGTTTTACTAGTAGCAATGACAATGTTTAAGAGAATTACTTTATTAATTACGATCAACCATTGTTTTTAAAACGTCTTCTATATTGAAATAAATGTGTATTATATAACATGGCAATATAAGAGATTAGTTTTACGTAATAAAAAAAAGTTAATCAATAATATAATCAGTGTTTTGTGTACAATGTGTGTTCATTGTATCCATTGTTGAGTCTCGGCTCGGGACACAACAAAGGTTGCTTGGGGTTGATCACAATGGCAATAACGGTGTAACGAAGAGTAATAAAAGATGTCGGGAATAATTAGCTACTTTATTATTATCAACCGGATCACTTTCTATGCATTCCTCATCAAGAGAGACGTAATAAGAAAACGATGGTGACTTAAAATTACTAAGTAAACATTTTTGATGGTATAATGTTGAACATATGTATATATACGTCTTAGTAGCGTTAAAAGCTAAAAAAATGTAAAATACCCTCATACTAATATATTAAATATATACGTATCATAAAAAGTTAATTAGTTGTGTGTTTTACTTAGATTATCTCCGTTCCCATATTGACAGTATAACAATGAGAGAAATTAAAAAAAACTTTTCCAAGAGCTATTTAAACATACTTAATTTTTCATATTTCAATATTTTTTTCCTTTATTTCGTACAGTAAATGTGGATTTTGGCTTTCATTTTCTAATTGAAATATATATATATATATATATATATATATATATATATATATATGATCTAATACATACTTTACAAGCAATTAGTTTGTATGTATTAAAAATGTGTGTTGTATAGACATTGCATCACATTATGTAAAGCTTAGTCGATCTCAGATGAATCACTAATTAAATGACCATTATATTATATGATTAAAGTAGCTATTACACATAGTTTGTATGACGTCATACACCAATTAACTGAGGAAATCCACATTTTATATTACGTAGCATACCACTTATGACAAAATTCTAGCCTTTGACGTATTTACTATAAAGAACTTTGCTTAATATTAAATTAAATTCTAATTTCGTGGAGTATGGAAGCAATTTTTTTTTATTAACTGCAACAAGTAATATATAAAATAGGATTTTACGAAAGAATACTGTCATTTATTAAACAATATGTATCTACGAATATCCGTTCACCAGACGGAGTTAGTCATAACTTTTTTAAACGAAAGTGGTACGATTATTATTAAACAAAATTAAGAAACAACTTATTTGTTTGTTTCAACATACCATATTTTGGAAAGAAATATTGAAAGCATCTTGATAAAATACTATTTGAGATTACCATATTCTAATCAGCGTTTAAATGCAGAAGAACCTCAATGAGATGTTGTACGTTTTCAAAGGAGTTTTTGATAACATGTCGCTTTAAGATATATGAGAGCGTTTAAATGCCGAAGATATTCAGGGAGATGTTGTTACCTTATCGAATGCGAGGGGTCTGTGCCTCGGCACATCCGCGGGTTCCATGGCTAGCGCGGTGAGCAGAGGCAGTGGGCGCTGGTGGCCGCGCGCTATCCTACCTCCATGGGCGTCTGTCGCGGGGGCCGCATGCCGCTCGCGCCCACGCTGCGCCCCCGACACCTGGAAACATCAGCACAGCATGAGATCTAAGATTTTCACGACGCTTATTCGTTTAAATGAAACTAATATATTTTGAGTGAGACACTCACATGTCGCCCGTGATTACGGTTGCTGAAAAGTAGCCGAAACGTTGGAAGTATGGAGTTTTTATCAAAAATAAAGTCGCGTAGTATATCCGAGAAATATTAGTTTCATTTATATGCACCAGAACATTCATTAATGTCACCATACTGGCCATAAATGCCAGTGATGCTGTCAAAGAGTCAGGCCCAACAGCTATAGTCGTCAACAAAAAAAACTGGCCATGCTGCGACTCCATAAGTTCAAGCATTGATACTTTTCAACAAATTTATCGAATAAAATAAACCTCTACTTTTTTATGCATAAATTTATATTGGTATCGAAAGTCAATTGATAGGATTTGAATCGAAAGTGTTTATTGAGTTACAAAAAGTGATAACGTGGGAATCGTTCTAAAAACTAAATTTTAATCCGTATGAATGAATTATCAAATATGAATATTGAATTCAATTTTATCGAGCGGGAACATATTTTTAGACATGGCTTGATCGAACACGATGTGGAATAGGCGACAGTCGTTTTTTATATAAATTATTCAAAAGAAACCATTTCTGCTTTCTAGCACAGCACGTCAGGCGACTATTTAAAGCAGCTCTTTAGAAAGAAAATGAACTTATTCATTAAAATGCAAAAAATAATATGTATGATAAATAGGACTTTATATTGACTTTCATTATATTTTTACGCAATTAATATTACTTAAGATTAAGTTGATTGTATTTCTTTTAATTAATTCTAAATCGGCGATAGATTTAATTTAAGCCATATAACTCAATATGAATTTAATACTTTAAAAAGTTACAACGACTACTGTGGTGGTCAAATATCATAATAATACTCTTCTACTGCACACATTTTAAATTTATTTAAATTTATTTAACAAATCGTCTTGAACATTACCAAAAATACACAAAAAGTATTTATCATAATAAAAGCGAAAATTTGTTGATATTATTTTTGTAAAATAGAATTATTTTAATGGGCACCCTCGCGTTGGAAACACTCCTCGTATTTGGACCTCAAATATGTTTAAACACGCTAACACATTGCGCGTGGATTAGCGGCCATTTCATCTCGGATATTGTTGTTCAAATGAGCAATCATGGTTGATTTATTACAGCAAACAGGAATCTTCATGTACACAACCATAGTTGTGGAAGATATATCGGGGTTTTTGTTCCTGGGACAATACAACTGTGTTGGAATTTACAGTTTCTTCAGATAATATATAGACATTTTTTTCTTGTTTTAACGTACAATTGTATTTCAATATAATAACAGAAGTGTACTGGACACAAAAAACAACATTAATAGTTTGGTAATTAAAACTAAGATATAAGAAGTACTTGAGTTCGAACTTATTAAAAAAATCAATATACTCTAGAGATTTATATCTTATGTTAGGGAAAACTGTGGTTATCCGAACTTTCAGTTAGATGTTAATAAAGTTTAATAACGTTACAAGTCGAATGTGATTTTTGGAAATATTTTAGTAATATTCCCACCGCGTTATACTCTACTGCCTCTACCGTATTAGACGATAACAAAAAATAGTTTTTTAATAACAGAAATTTTTATTCATTTGAACACTTGAATAAATTAAGGTGGAATATTCTCGTTATAATTACGTCATTAAAGTGTTTAAATCGGTTGAGATTTTTACATTAAATCTAATTAATATGCCGCTCTGCAGCTAGTACCATGACCATAGTATCGTAATGGCACCACGTAATGGACCGGGGCTATAAAGATTCTATATTCGTAATACTTGGAGCGTATTCGGCGTAAACTACGTATACACATTTCTTGTGGCCCTTAAACCGGCTGTTGTGGGTTGTAAGTAAAAAAGATTATAGCTTTCACACTAATGATCAAACTCACTTTAATAGCCTATCATATCATTTTAATTTTAATTTATTTTAATGACTACGTGATTCTGTTAATAATAACTTTAAAATTAATTTTATTTAATATTTGTGTAAGTTATTCTGTAGGAATTACAGAAAATATTTATACATTCTAATAATAAAATATACTGTTGTTCTACACATAACACCTGGAGTTTTAGCAGTTTTTTAAAACACGTATGTATATGTGAGATGTAAAGAAAAAGAAAAAGTATTCAATAAATAGTATCAATCAATAAATAAATATTTCACAACACAATAAACCAAACGTAATAAACCAAAGTTATAGCTCAACTCACACTTCATACATTCTTATACTTCATTTTCAAATTTTAAAAATTAAAAACTATTTAAAACTAGTGTTCAAAGTATATATAAAACAACATAAAACGTGTATATCACAATCCATTGGACAATTTTGTATTATTCCTTTTTTATATTCACAAAAACTAAACACTTCACTGATACGAATATATTTTTCTATACCGATATTTGTATATTAAAAGTAACAGAGTATTTCACGTATTTGTTTATGATGTTAACCGATGTTTATGATCTGTGTTAAACGTGTTTTCAAACAGTCAATGCTCTAGCTACTCCGAAACTATCAATCGTCGGCTCCACGGTCTGTATGCTCTCAGCAGTTTGTACCGTCACTCCACATATGAAGCGTTTCCCGTTTCACATTCAATAACCTACATTATTATTAAGTACTAAGATTTATGAATGAAACTGTTAACGATATGTATTCAGTGTGATGATAAAAACTTGGTGTACCAAAACATATTGTTGTATTGATGCTATAGAAAGCGGGATAGTTATAAATCTTTACGTCCAGTAAATGCTTTAAAATATATTGTTAAGAATTAATCTCTTTCTTCAATAAATAAAAATATTTTTTATATATCTATATATAGCTTTGCCAGTTTATAAAAATAATTACGGACACCAATGATGTGTCGAAGTTCGTTGGTGTAGTGGCAATATGTTAAATTGAGTCAAAAAATATAAGTTTAATTATTGAAGGGATGGTTATATGAAAAATATCATCAATTGCTTTAAACTCACCCTAGTGGACTGTAGAGTATATATGTAATATTATATTTATATACCTTTATCGCTTTCGTTACAACAGGCTTATAGACGAGACGCGATCTCTTTGACGGACGCTCTAAATGTACATACGTAATGTTAAAAACATCTGCGCACATACTTACTATCACGATTATCAATATCAATACCTTGATAAGCCATGCCGATGAGTTCACGAATTCATCTACCGATGTCATTTGACGTATCTTTTCCTGTAAACAATAGCCGCTATAATTCCACTACCATATATGTAGCTCCACACAAATTAAAACAAACAAGGAATGTACAATTACTATTATTACTATTGAAATGAATATAAAGATAAAACGTTTAATATAAATAAGAAAAATTAGTTCTTATAAATGTATGTAAATATTTATATAAAGAAAAATCACTAACCTCAACCACTCAGGAAGTATAAAACATTATGACTCATAGATATTACGTTTCTAAATAACTTCGTATAGGTATACGAAGTATTTCATTAAATATTATATTATTCACTAAAAGTTTATTATTAACGTATTTTTAATTAAATATTTCAGCTAACGACAGCCAGAGATCGGCTCACAATGTGTTCTGATAAAAGATAAGAGCACGCTTAAAATCTCTTCTCTTGTCGTAAATTTAAGAGTCGTGAGGAAATTGGGGGCTTAAGCACCTTAAGATAATTGAGATAAGTGGATTCTAAGCACTAGAGGCACTCCGGGGATATTGAATGACCTCGCTGTAGTGCATATATAATGAGTGACTGATAACAACTGAAACAGTTTTAGTCACAATTATCACAGATTTGCAAGTAGAATACTATTATTATATACATAATTTAAACATAAGCAGATAATTATAGGAAGTCACGATTCTTTACTGCACCTCAATTACCTTATTACGGACAATTTCAGTATGAATATTACTAGAAAATACATAGTCTTTATGTTCATAACAGGGTTTTTTTTCAGCATGTTTTTAAGGCCTATTCAATCAATTTAAATATTTAACATTAATTTAAAAATTATTCAATCTATTTTCAATTTATTTCTTAGATATTACAAAAGATTTCGAGAATAAATATTGATAAATAGCAGTCGTTTTTGCCAATGGACTTCATGGTTAAATGAATTTTAAGAAATTAATACAAGTACACATATGAGGTCATTTTTTAAATATTGAAATATAAACCTTAATTTTTTTAATGATTAGTATAGGTAATTCTACCACGCGTCTTAATTAAATTTATAGCATCTCTCCTTATGCAGAAAATATGCCTTCAGAGAACTCTTTCTCAGTTATTGTACATCTAAAACGGACCATTTTCTCGTCGGCACTTCAAATCTAAAATTCCATTACTCGGAACAACCCACGCGATGCGCCTCCGTTAATTTTCTAACCTTAGGATGGCACCGATGTGTTTTTTATCGAATTCCATTTAAATAAAACCCTGGCATACTTCTACAAAATTGCTTATAAATATAAGGATTTTCTGGATATATTAAAATTCATAAATATTTTTTACTTACTACTTTTTAGATGTCATCTAAATGGATTAGGTAATAGGACATGAGAAGAAAGTAATAAATTTGCTTAAATTAATCTTAGTTAATTGCTTATGGAATGTGACTTTCTGCCAAATACAACAAATTCTTTATTTCTTATGGGAACTTTGAGAAATTTCAGTATTTTTTTTTTGATGACGCAGGGAGACTCACTAAAGGGAAGGGATGTGTGAGACTCGGCCTGGGCAGGTCCCTACTCAATAAAACCACTGCGAAAGCTATCGGCCGCTGTGTCGGTGTACCCCGGTTTTTTCAGCGACAAGGCACGAGTAATTTCAGTATAAACTAGTGCCTACTTGTCTATATTATAACAAAATATCACAAACAAATTGGTTTTTGGTCAAAAGAGTAACAGATTTTCACGTTTCCGGCTATCCAAAAAAACAATATAGACTATATTAGCTAAAACTTGTACGTGAAACTTAAAATTATACATTGTTTAAGAATAATTTATGGAATGTTTCTAAAATTATAAAATAGTCAAAAGTTTGTGTCTAATTCGTAACTTTGTATCAATTGGAAATATATATAACACATACTCATGTGTAATTTCTATCTCTGTAAAGAAAAAAGCAAACTGTATTTTGTTAAACGAAATGAAAATAATTCATTGGGCGTTCTGCTGTATATTGTTCCATTTAATTTTTGAGTCACGTTTTAATAGTTAATTAAATAATTACTAAAATGTATATTCTAATGCATAATCTATAATCGTAAATATAACTTTCAATTTTTTTTTTCAAAACTCCGGGTTAGTTTACGGAATACGTAATAAACAACCATTAAGGTACACGTACATATATCAAAAATTAAACAGAAAATTATTTAAAATCACTAATCCATTGACACAAATACATTGAAAAATTTGCACGAACGTACGTGATCGTTGTCATCAGCCTTTCAGAGCCCACTGCTGAGCAAAGGCCTCTTTCTCACATGGAGAAGATTTGAGAATTAATAACCACGCTTGCTCAAGACGGGTTGGTGATTTCAAACTTATAATTGTGAAATTATAAGTCCAGGTTTCCTTACAATATTTTCCTTCACCGTCTGTCAATGGTGTCTAAATACTCTTAGAAAGTACATATGACTCGGAAAAATAACACAGGTACTTGTCAGTATAGAACCCGCGTCCCCTCGTGCACGAGAAGCGGGCCTTTAACCACTAGGCCATCACTGACTTAAATGAATGTGAACATATAAATGAAACATATATTTTTCAACAACCGTGATCACGGGTAGACGAGATGCGTGACCGAAACTTCGGTAGTATGTAGCTTTTTACAAAAATAAAGCACGCGTAGTAGGTATATCCAAAAAAAATTAAATGAATACTCGCGAAAGTCTTACATCTCAGAATGTGAACATAATATGTAAGGTGTACTTACAATAAAAATAATAATTAAATACTATTTTTCATCACCGAAATATGAACTATACTAATACTTAAAAATAAACTTCTTTTTTAACTAAAATAATATCAAATACATAGATTTTATTTATTGCTCTTAATATTTTCTAAACAGATTTTAGTGTTCAATAGATAGGCATGTTGAATTTTCGAAGTATAAACTGTGTGGTATTGCCTAACTCAAGAGGGAAAAAAGTATCAAAGTAGGGTTTAGTATCAGCGTCAATTGTATGAGTATCATACTTATATAATTGTGACATAATAATATCATTATTAAATTTTATAAATAAACTCGTGTTAAATCTAAAGAGTAGTTAATATTTGAAACAAAAAAGATCAAGGATATTTAGTATAACCATCCTCAAAAGAAAAATGGAGAGCTAACGCCTGTGAAAAGTTTTTTCCATTATGGTCTCATCTTAATTAAAACCAATTTAAATAAGTGAAGCTTTTTTGAATCTTATTAAAGTATGAAAGATATAAAGATCAAAAAGATTCCTCACGTAAAGTATCTAAGAAGTATAGTTTCAATTTATTTCATTATAGTTCAAAGTACCTATATCTTGCTAGATTTTGTTCGATAGCTGATAAAACTATTTTTATAAAAATATATCACGGCCTTTCTGTCCATCCATAATTCGTTAATATCATTTACAAGTACGTGGGAGTTATCTCCATTAAAAGTTAAATTGATTAAAAGTTTTACATAATTGAAACTAAATGACATAAATAAGTTTATTTTTTAATTCATCCAAAAATTATGAATAGTTCAAACTTGTACACACTAACAGTGCCAATGTATTAGATAATGCCAAGGAGCCAAAAGTGATGACGTTTTCCCAACTGTCACTACATTCATATAAAATATTCTATCCATTAAAGTTGAGTTTGTAAACAAAAAATAACTGAAGTATTTACAACCAACGATAGTATTGGTAGTATATATTCAGAAATAAATCCATTCACCGCTGCGTGGGCGATATTTAGCGCTGCATTCCTATAGTGACGGTTTCCAAATACTTGCTAGCGGTTAATTTAATTGTCTTTGGAATATATAACGTTTATTTTATACATAATATGTTGAATATAAATTATAATAATACAAACGAAAAAATTTAATATTAATACTAATACATATATGGAATACAAATTATTTTCATTCAAATATTATTTTTAATTTTTAAATAAAACAACAGGAAAAACTTTCCTATTTTTTAAATTACAAGTAACAAATCAAATTTATAGAAAATGGCTTTTGGAGAACACACGAACAGATATTTAAGCATTTTCTTTCTTAGTAATATTTCTAAGATAAATATTACATCATTTTCATGTTAATTAAAAACATAAACTCAATAATACATACTAATGGATGTCACGAATGTTGGTGAAAAAATAGAGTTTTTTTATAATACATATAATGATAATATATGAAGAGATTTTTTTTAATTCCAACGAAGTGTGATAGCAACTGAACCGTATATATAATATTCCCAGTCGATTAAATGTTTTCTCGTTTGATAATTGGGTTAATGCGTAATTATTTTATGTTTTATATATATATGTTATGAGATGAGTTCCAAATTTTCGTATATCCTAATAATTTCGACCTTTCCACGTCATTAAAATTATATATATGTAGTTTTTTTGATCTGTTTGTGTATGTTAATTATTTGAAAACTACACAATCGATTACCACAGTGTTAAAAAACCCACAAACTAATTTCTTACCGAGTATTTTGCTCAATCATTAGCAAAACTATAGGGAAAACCCGTTGTCAATAATTTAAAACATTTCGATATTCATAAGGAATTGTATAAAATTGAAAAACGTTTATAAGATTAAATAGTAAATTTACTGGTTCATGAAGGAATCCTTTGGATCTATAATAATTTAATGCTATAAAATAGATTTAGGAAATGTAAAAAAATTGTCAATTCAATAAATAATGACATGTTATATATTTGCGAAAGTATTTATTTTGTATTTAATACTTTAATCGCAGTTTTTATTTTTATATAAAAAAAATATTCAAATACTAAAATAATGAGAAATCCTCAAGACTTTCTTAAATAAATTTGAATGCATCAATTACGTGTATAATACGAAAAAAATATATACAGAAAGTCAGTAATAAATAATATTTAAAATGATTTTTGGACCAAAAATACATAAAATTAGAATCTGTATTAAATTATTATCATCCCTACCTTCATCAAATAATACCAGCTCCCACAGGATTCTATCAAACCCAACGTCACCTCTGAAGTTCCACACATTTCTAAATTGTTGGACCCAATTAGTATCCTTCAAATTGACCTTTGTTTGACCATTGCATTACTTGAGTCAATGCGCTATACGCTACTTGTACTGATGCTTTATACGAGTAAAGAGGAAAATTTTGTTACCAAAAATATTTAAACGAAACTTTAAGTAAGTTCTCGTTCTTTAATACGTAGTTTTCATAATCAGTTTGTTCAAATTATTTAATATATATAATTTTTAAAAAATCAGTAATATAAAATTATGTCAGCCTTTATATTTTTTCAAACAACAGACAAACTTTTAAATACAAGTTGTTAAATCATCCAATGGTCAATATTTCGTATGTTGTCACTTTGGCTACATTAAAATTTTTAAAAATAAACTTGTTTATGTGACAAGAAAATGTAAATTGTATTTAATTAATCAGAATTATAGGTAAGAACAACAAATTTGTTGAAATTGTGTATTAAAATAGTATATCTATTATTAACTTAAGTGTATACTTCCATAACCTTATGTAAATATCGAGTAGTATGGAAATAGAAATGTGCCAAAACACGCCACAACATACCACTATTTAAAACAAGATATTTAATACGTTAGAATTTTTAAATCAATATTTATATGGGAAATATTAGGTTGGTGCATATGAAATGTCGGATTCTCTTTACATGCGGACGTTTGTATCCCTGTTTTCGTTATACTTTTGTCTTTGCCATAACCTCATGCACAGTCGTATTATCCATTGCCAGAGACTCATTTCAGCAAAATAGATTTTGTCGAAGGTCTTCCCTTTTGTATTTCTTTTGAGTTTATTGACGATATGAATTCTGCCGACATTCGCGTCATTTTCTTATATGAGTACAAACTTGGTAATAGTGCTGCAAAAGCTGCACGCAACATAAACCAAGCGTTTGGGGATAATACGATTAACGATCGGAAAGTGCAGCGTTGGTTCAAAAATTTCGCACTGGCGATTTTTCACTGCAAAATGAGCCGCGCGGAAGACCCAAAAGGTCTGTGAAGAATGATGACCTGAAGGCTCTAGTGGAAGCGGATCCAGCAGTATCCACGAGGGAACTTGCTATCACGTTGAAAGTTGACCATACAACGATATTGAGACACCTTTTTGAGATTGGCAAGGTTAAGAAGATGGACAAGTGGATGCAACGCTCGGCCGCATACATCGCACAAAACAATTGCGAAACTGAACGGACTGGAATATGATGTTTTGCAGCATCCACCATATTCACCGGATCTCTCGCCGACCGATGTTCATTTTTTCAAGCATTTAGAGCTGTTTTTAAGGGGCAAATACTATGAAAATGAAGATAGTCTAAAAAAACTCGATATCAGAGTTTATTAATTCTAAAGACCAAAATTTTTTTAAGACAGGCATCTACTCTTTAAAATCTCGTTGGGAGAAGTGTATTGAAGCGAATGGAGCATACTTTGATTGAATAAACAGCTTTTGAAGAAAAATATGCAGTTTTATACAATCACTTAAGAATCCGACATTTCATACGCACCAACCTAATAACTGAATGTTTTATTCCATAAATATGATTTAGTGAAAATATATATTTTATATGTATTATAAATGATAAAAGAAAAATTTGTAACATTATCAAAGCTTAAAGGTTCGATTAATATCAAGGATGCGTACAAGGTTTTATTAGAAATGCCAAGCTTTCAACGAGAGCTGAAACTGCTGGGAGAAGTCTGGGGCGCATGTCCGGGTTGGAAACTCTAAGACTTATTCGAAAACGTCCTTTGTTATGGCCCCACGGTTTCTATTGCAATGGATGGTTAACGAAATTCTTTATTGTAGCCACGCAATTTTCTTCGCCAACAAGTTTTACGCCTCTTTAAAATAACTCGCTATAAAAATATCTTTTATTTTTTTTTTGTTAATACCATTCTATTTGATTAAACTATAAATATTCTTGAAAAATGTATAAACAATGAATAATTTATATGAAAGGAAAAGTGAATGTACCTACAACATGTACAACGGCAGGGTAAACAAACTTTTATAAACGAAACTCTCGCTTTCTGTTTCACTTGAATCGCAATGACCTTTGTTAGAGGTCAGACAAGGGGTTTAGGTTCGTCATTAATATTCAGTACATAAACTATATTAAATGATGCCCAGGGTTAGGAGTAATGATACAGATTTACATAAAATTAAAATATTCACATCTCACACAAAATATAAAAGTAAGGGCTTTATATTATGCGGTACCCAAAATATGAGCAAATCTGTTGGCCCCGTGATACGAGTTGAAGAAGGCAGAACGCCTATTATGTAACACTTCTCCAAAACGACTCCGTCGAGCCGATCGCGGGGAGCTATTTGTTTTCTCAAGTGAACTAATGAAGCGGTAGCAACTGTCTGCGTCTATATAATAATAATATATCGAATGACTAACCAATAGAGCATGAGAGCAGTCGAGAGTGGAACACACGGTGATTACTATCACTCCGTCGAACACCAGTACAGTTCAAATCCGTCCGTGACGCTGCGAAACATACGGGGTGAGGATGTTGGGCTACGGGAAGGGAACAGGATACTTTACCTTATAGCGAGATGGGCGTGGGGTGTCGGGAGTCGCGGTGGACGTTCAGTTAGCGCGGCGCGCGGCCATGGCGCGAGCGGCGGCGGCGTCTCGCGCACTGCCGGCCACCACGCGCTCGGTACGACGCTCGGAACGGGCCCGCGCACGCGCCCGCCACTCGGATTGATCACGGTCTCGATTGCGATGAAATTTATGATACGACGGTGATCTATTATCGACAATACGGATATACACAGTATAGGAAATTTTATTATGAAAGTATTATATTAAAACTATACGATACACATATCGGCGTAGTAACTATGATCGGTGGAACGAAATATTCGATAATATAAAATACTCGTAACATACCATGGCTCTAACGAAAATATTTATAAGCACGAATATAAACAGCGTATCTTACGGCTATTAAAAGTTACTACTGTCTTATCCTTGACTAGGTGGTATTGATTTCTTTGTTACGTTATTTATTCACCTAGAACCCAGTCCGATTACCTTTTTAAAGAATACAGAACAAAAAATTAAACGCCCTTTGATATTTCGTTTATGTTTCAGTCGATGGATGAGCATTGAATTAAATATGAAAGAGATATTAACAAAAAAATCGTGTCTACGCAGTCTGTGATGCTTGATTTAAGTAGCATTTATTTTTATTAAATTCATTGAATCTCGAATAAAGATTACCTTTATAAATTTCTTGTAAACTATTGTATATGCGCTTTATAAAGTTTTTATCCAAATTATTATTTTTTTAAATTAGACACATGTCATCTAAGCTAGTTACTCAGTTTTATTTTTGTAAATTTTAACTTATACTTTATATTATTTATATGTAGTACAGAATAATATAATTTTTAATTATTATACATACTAGCTTAAATAATAAGTATACAACTAAAATCGTAAGTCCCGTGTGACTTTGTAAGAATGTAAATTTTCGTTTATACATTTTCTTGGATCATTATAAGTCTCAGGCCGGGTAACACGGATGGCACGCGATTTGGCCATTTCGCGATTCAACTAAACTATTTGGTCGATAGTCTATAAAGTCGCGCTACTTTTATAATTTGCTAGTTACCAAGTTTTATTTTTGAATGATTACAGTATGCGAAATCACGCAATATCCTTGCATGTCTTTTATTATTTAAACACACCTATGAAAGTATATATGTAATTTTATTATTCTAGTTAAGATTTCAGCGTACTTTTTATAACCTTTTGCCTTTATGAAATTTAAACATTTATAACTTAGGTAGGTAAAATTTAAAATATGTAAAGAAATAAGTTAAGGCCCACCTCGAAATGAAAAACATTATATATTAATTATTATTTATAGAATTCAGAATAAATATAGGTATTCAGAAATAAATATAGTAAATAGCCTAGCCGGTTTGGTGATAGGATATTGAAAGTTTAGGGTTATAGTTTTTCTTAAAGATAGAAATGTTGTAAAAAGTTATTAAAAAATTGCTACCTATTAGGCTCATAACAACGGAATTTATACATATAATTTAACGTACTGTTTTGTATAAAGTTAATTGTCACACAAGAATTTTATACGTAAGATAGACGTTTAACAATGTTTAAAACTTCAAAATGCGCTTTTTTTATTGATATCTTAACGTTTTATATAAATATTTAGTAAAAATAAGACTAATGTTTTATCTGCCTTCGTATTTTTAACTACGATAATTAGTTTCAAAACAGGTAGGTACATACTGATGAATTTAGTGTCATGTATTCCATGGGATTGTTTGAAGCAATGATTTCTATAAAAATGATCACCAATGTACTTATTACATTTCGAAAACAGTTTTTTTAATACATTTTGTTAAGGTCTAATGAAGGACTGCTCAAGTAACAAAAAAATCTTGTCATCCATCACCTGAATGACATCTTACAGTTTTAAAGATTATCTCACAAATATTATTTATTTTCTGTTATCTATTGTTATTTAGTTTTTGTTTTGCCCTTAATTTATCTTGTATACTTTTGCATATTTTCCTTTAAATTTTAATATTGTGACGCATTTTTGACATTTGCCTATCCAATAGTGTTGCCATAAAAAAAGAAAAAATTAATTATATTAAAACTATATATAAAAAAATCGAACACTGAAGTCATGGCTTTAAAAAACGAAAAAAAAATCTAGTGTGATTTTATGAAACAGTAATCCAAGTTGAACATTTTTCTAATACTAGGTATTTCACAGAAATTTCTTTTAGGGTATTAAAATGTTTTTTTAATTCATGTTAAATTAAACAAAAAAAATACGGTTTATAGATAGAGAATAGAACATCCGACGATAAATTTTATTTTCTTCAAAATTAATACACTAGTGCAATATAAACAGTGAGTAATAATAATAAAAAATAATTAGCTAAAACTGTTACTTTACTGTTTGTTTTAGAAATACTCTATGTATGCATCACTCCATAACTTACACATAATCAACTTTAAAGATGATTTAAACACAAAGATTTCGACGAGAATCACGAGACCATGATTATTATTTTAGATATATGATATTGGGTATCAGACAGACATTACTTATCATAAAAACTCCAGGTTTACTTACTTTTCTTGTGTATTTACTTCTATTAAAATAACAAAGTCAATGAAACACTTGAATTAATAATAATACTTTTATTTCATTACATGTTGTTAGTAACTGTTATATAGAGGGCAATCTTTCAAAATATATTAGTAAAAACTTATAAATACTTTCACATTGTACTTAACATGGAATGCAAGTGCTAACTTCCACCAAAAAAACACCAAATACATAAGTAAACTTAATAATTATTATTTCTTTCATATATATTTCATTTCATGTAATGAAGAATTCTGTATTACAAGTTTGCAACACTTCCAAAATGGGTAGTATTAAAAAATATAATAGTAATACAAATAAATTTTGCACCAGGCAACATAATTTTCATAAATATATCTACTTAAATAAAATTTAAATCACATTTTTATTAATCAACAAATAATCTGATAGATCTTATGCCCTCGACTTGTCTGATTTGATGAACTTATCGAGGTCAGCGTCACTGGCTGGGTCTACTTGGGAGAGTTGACGGAAACTTTCATCATCAACAAAACAGATTTCATGATCATCAGGATCAGCCAAAATGATGACTCTCACAGTAGCTTTTCCTGGAGTGTCAAGGGATATAAGTGGAGTCAGGATTTTTCCTTTCACTTCTTGAACCTTCTGGTTGATAATTGGTTGCTCGTCGAAAGGACAAGAAAACGCAATTCGGCCGTATGCCTTTGCGTGGTTTACTGGTTCACCTGAAATTAAAAATTGTATATTAATTTTTTCTATTTCAATAGTAAAATGTCTTATATTTAAGATTAATTACACTAATACAATTACTACATCAGTTATATCCTAAAGTGTTCTTTTTAAACTGCTTTATTCCTAACAGACTAATTTGTTTCACTCAAAAAATTTCCAACAGATTCAATAATCAAAAGATAAGTCTATTTCAATTCACAGATAGATTGCTAATCTAAGATAAGAACTTTTTGATTTGTGATTCATATACATTTTCTGAAATTATGAGATATGCAAAAACCCATAGAAAACTATATATAGAATGATGGCCAGAATTTGCTAAAAGCTGTATATTTGCTTCAAAATTCCAACACCTGGTTTATAAGTAATTTTGAAATATAAATAACATTTTGTTTCATAAAAAAATCTTGAATTGTGATGAAATACAACCAAAGACTCAGTACTGTGATATAAATGTATATAAATATATTAAATTTTGTAACCAAGTGAATTTCTTTAATTTTTTATTGTAACAATGGGCACAACTAAGTATCACATACAAAAATGGCTTCAATATTTTTTTGATTACATTTCTTATTAGGATCTTACAAGTTTTGAATTTAAAAATCTTTAAGTTTGATAATGTATATTAGTAAGAAAAACATGAAATGTTTAACAAAGACTTATAAGACTTGTTAAATGTATTCAGTTAGTTGTTAAATCATTGTATTTAATTATTATGACAATTACAATTTCTTACCAATATCAACCAGTTCCAACTTAGCTTGGTCCTCACTAAAACCAAGAGTGACGGTCTTGTCAGTCTTCTCAAAAATCTTTAATGTCAGCAAACCATTCCAGTAAGCAATTGACTTTGCCAGATCTGAGCTAGCCAATGAGACCTTCACTACTGGATCTGAAAAGAAGCAATGGAAAAAACATTACTAGATGATACACAAGTATGATTTTTGTCATAGACAACAAAGGAAGAAGCATAGGCAGAAAATTTTTTATATAAAACCTCTGTTCCTTTCTATAAATAGTTAAAAAATAAGTTGTAAGCATAAAAATTGTATTTTATATTAATAAGGTATTTAATTTGAATTTTTTATCAATAAAAAGTTAATTTATATGTAAATTTAAGCAATTTAAAAGTTCATATGATTTTTATTAACAATTCCTTTGTTTATTATATATATTTCATAGGAATATTAAATCATGAGAGTAAGTCATAGATCACATGACACAACAATGATAAAATATGATGTAATACAACAATGATAAAAAATACCAGAATAAAAGTAACTTTTACGAAGCATCTGAGAATAAAATATATGTTCAAACACTCAAATAATAGTTATAAAGGTAAAAAAACAAAATATAATTATATATTACAAATACAAGAGAAGTGTAAATAAATTCAAATAAAACTACAAACATAAGTAAATTTGTTTCAAATATATCTAACAGACAAAACTGTAATCATGTAATATTATAAGAATTTTGTTATAAAAAATATATATTTACCTAAAAGTAACACTAAAAGAAAAAATGTTAAGTCCTAAATTGTTGTGTTACAAAATATTTATAAATAAACAAAAAACAAAACCTCAAATGATCTAAATATGATGTAATAGGTAATTATAAGAAAGATAAATTGAATATAATGGACATACCTCTATCAATTGGCTGTGGTTTATCAATAATGTAGAATTTGTAGCCACCGGGAGCTTCGACATACTTCAATCCATTGTTTTCTTTGATTGGCCAGTTGGCTGAAGCAGCCCGTTTCAAACTCTCACTTGATTGAATTGTTAGCCCCAAAAAATCATTGCCCTGTTCATAATGCGTAATCCCATAGTTGTATGTCAGTTCCACAACAAAATGGTCATCTTCTGGCCCATAGCCGATCATTGTTTTACTCCATCTATTCGCATAAGGTCTGAAAAATCAAACAACAGTATTATGGTAAAATGCGAACAACCTATAAGCAACTATTTTCAAAGTTAATTCTCATATTTTTATTTAGCATTATACTTCTTCAATTTGTTGCTAATTACATTAGTATATTAATCTTAATAAGTATTTAAAAAATATATATCAGAACCAGTTTTAAAAATAGATCAGAGACCAGAATAAATGTGAGAATATGTTTCATTCTTATTGTGTACTGTTCATAAAAAATCTTTATAATAATAAGTACAAAATAAGAGCTGAAAAACTCCTCAATCTTACCCATTGCAAGCTGCCTCACAACCTTCACTAAATTCTTCGTGACGCAGTACCTACAACAATATAATAACGTTTAAATTGGTTTATACGACAATAAAAATTACTTGTAATCATTACCAGGCAAGAATTAAGAAAATTGGATCCGGTCATGGTAATAAGAATCATATGACCTTGAATATAAACGAGAGCACTGTAATTCAATATGAAATTATATATAATAAGTCAAGCAATATATGATTGTCTAGTCTTACAAAGTTGAGTAACTTATTGGTATAAAAAAGTAAGAAATTTTTGTATCCTTACCTTCATCCCCAGAATTTCCCTGTAGAACTTGGCCGTGAGGGTTCTGTCGGCCACTTTGAAAACAAAATGCAATGCCCGGCCGCTAATCATGTTGCAATTTTTTTACACTATATTAAAACGATATCAAATTATTAGAATGAAGGAAATAATAATTCCTTTATATCTAAATATACTTTTTAACTACTATATTCGAAGTGCACTCGCAAAGTACTGACTAAGCGATTGCTGAGTTTGACCAGCAAAGTGTAAACTAGTTTTAAATGTCAACTTCAAATCATTATTGAGATTCTAAACAATACGTTCGTTCAAGTATAGATATAAAAATGAAGTGGACCATTTTCAATAGCATTGCCATCATGTTCATGTTCAGCGATGTAAAATTGTTCAAGAATAAATTCTAATAGTAATAAATACGATTTATATTTGAATAGCTCTTTAATGTCAAGATTTATGCATGTGAACGACTTCGTTTTACGATAAGATGATAAATAAAGATTAGATAATTGTTTAACGCATACATCTAAGGGCACCTCATCATTAAAAATCTTACCCTAATATTTGTTCTGTAGAGAAAAGGTATAATATGAAAATAAAAATTCCTTTATAACAAATGATAAAATATATAAAAGCTACTTTAGAATAACCATAATATTTAAAATATATAAATATAATCAAATAAAATTAACAGGCAGTAGAACAATATTTTGATTTTCTCTTGGCCCTTTATTAGCTTAATTTTTTTCTGCTGCAGTTTGTATATGAACTGACTGGACCAAACCGAAGTTAAGTTGTATTTTATATTAGTTTACCTGAGGTAAAATGTTCTTTTTTGGTGCCTAGACTTTCTAACTTCAGATGACAACTAAAAAGACTGAAACTGTACGGGATTTGAGTGCCAAACTAGAACCTAGCTTACAACTGTGATTCGAATAGGGTACCTTCCGATATCTCCTATGCCAGTGCCACAAAACTCGCCCTTTTCAAAACAGGGCGATATTCTCTGACAAAGTAGTGATTGTATTTTGCACCATCCTAACCTGTACCAACAGAAACTAAATTAAAGTTAATTCAGCAACAACTCAGAAATTCTCTGGTGATTTTTGCAGCAAACCTCGATAGATGTCGACACCGGACTTTATCAGGGGCTAAGATGAGCATACTTTTTTATTTCGAACCTCGTTTTTCTTTTACTCCAAAAATTTACAAAATATCTTGACATCTTCAAAAACTTAACTGCATGCCCCGTTTAATTACTGAGATTGCTTCTCAGAGCCCGCGTTTTAAACGATCGAACAGAAGTTTACAGATCGTGATCTAATAAAATACACAAGTGCTGTTCCGTATAAATGGTCGAAAATAATATTCAGTTTTTGGGAATATCCGGTATATTACATATAACCTAACTGTAGGAAAATGTGTCAGCTCAGAATTTTGTTCAACTACAGACATATCTGTTAAAGATGAGGACTATAATCATAAAAATATTTTTTAAGAACTCTCAGCAAACTCATTTTTAAAATAAGCTTGTCCTCGAATCTGAAGTACAGGCGATATTCAAATACATCTAACTTGTCGGTGTCTTAAACAAGTGTCTGAAATCAAGCCAACGTTGGTTAACCCAATCCCTAGAATTATTATTTTTTGCATAAATCCAAGAGTCCCGGAACTTCTTTGTAAAATTACTTCAAGATCGCCGTCATCGGTTTTGTAAATAAAAAAAAGATGACATTTTTGGGTAATGTAGACATAAAATATACAATCATTAAAAAATGGGAATCTAGGATACTGAGTGTGGAATACCATACATCGACAGAGTACAGACCATTGTAATTTCTTATAAAACTTGGCTATCACAATGAGTATCAATATAACTTCTTCAATTTAGAATTGTTAAACCTTCAAAAAGATTTCTTTTATGCATTTTATAAGTCTGTACAGAAAATTTGTGTATAGAACTGCTTTACAAAATAAAAATTTTAATATGCTGCGAGAGTTTTCTTTAATTTTGTTATAAGGACTACCTAAGTCCATTATAAACATCATGTTGGCGAAAAAAATTGTGTAATTTATATCGATACATGGGAACCATTTGTTTTTATAATGTACATGCGCTATTCATGCGTCTAGGTGCTGGTCAAACAGACATTAGATATCAAAGATAACGGAGTTATCTTATTTACACTTCATATTTGTTTCACAATTTATAGACGTGCAAATACAATTATTTGTATCCCGTGTATTCAAATTGGTAAACAATTGCATATTTAAAAGTAATCTTTGTTGATTTAAATATGTAAACACGCACATCGTTTTTTTATCTTTGGGATCTAAACTGGCTTTAAAGGAAAGAGGCTAGGCAAGGATTTGATCCCTCCTCTTGGATTTAAAATATGCTTATGAAAAATATAATCTAGGAACCTATAACATTTTTTCAAATTATAGTGTCTTAACTTTTAAAGTATATCTCTACTTGCAACCCGAGTATTTATATATTCTACAATTGACTAGCATGTATAAAAAAATATATTTTTTTATTAAAATCTATCAGCCTTTATTTTCGTAATACAATTATCAATGTTGTTTATTGTTAATTAACCTTATTCATCGTAGATGTAGGGACTTCATTCGTGTTATATTCTTACGATTATACGATTATAATGGAACATGTCGAAATGTAGTAGTTTCTTATTCATTGAAGAAATTCGAATCAAATCAGAAAAACAAATGACATGAAGTTACAAAAAACAAAGTATGGAGAAATTACATGTAAAGGGTTTTCTTGAAGCACATATAGAACGAAAATTTTAACCAAAAGTCTAGTTGTAGATAAACTAGGAACTCATTATCCCCGACTTTTCAGATTAAAACCCTGACTTTGTGGATGAATACTTTATTCTATATTTTCTATTAAATATTGATTAAATGTTAAAAAATAATTACAAGAATCTTCATGATAGCTCTGTCAAGCTCTGATATAAATAAATGACTCATATTTATTTCAAATTCAGTCATGACTCGACATAAACTATATTTTACGTAGAATAGAAGTATATGAGTCAATATTTTGGACGGTCCTTTGGGGCAAAATCCAACAAAACACATGATTGAAGTGAAGGTGCTAGTTTTTGTTTTTTCAATGAACTAAGTATTCGTTCACCAAAACCACTACATAAATAGAACCTCAGCATTTGCTTTGCTAGTAGAGCAAGAGACTCAAAAATTACGTGACAATTCTTCCCAAATACGTGTGTAACAAGAGAAAAGGCAAACCCCTACCTCAATTTTATACTCTTATACCTAATATCATTATTTTGTAAAAGCATTTTTCGAATATGGATTGAAACACTCTCCATATGCGAAAGAACAAAATAATATTTTTCTTATACAGCAATTGTTGTGGCTTTACGAAAAAACCGAGGGCATTATTGAATTATTACAGTCAAAAACTGCTACATACTACATTGATAAAAAACAATTAAAACTTTAATAACCAAAACCTATAAATAGGCTTATTACAAGTTGAAAATCTCCATTCTTATTATGGAATGTCACTGAAAGTGGTCGTCGGTATATATAGAGTGGCTGGAACAATTTGTTAAAGTCCTCTTTTAAATTTTATGAACGTACTAAAATAGCGTATTTACTTCACGTGTACAATACTATATTAATCATTGGATATCTTTGCTTATCATTTATGTTTTCTAATTTGGTAAATAACAAGTTACCAAAAAAAGCTTTATACTTACTTCATAGTTTTCTTGTGGCAAACATCTCATCAACTTTTTGAGTGTTAAAATAGTTAGGAAATATAAAAAAATTAAAAGTTATCGGAATTCCTTAAATTGATAATCTTATCAAAAATTACTATTCGCCGATAGATATAATACATTAAGATAATCGTAAACATAAATTACTAATTAGTATTCAGATATTTCAGCGTCTGGTGTAAAGTTCAGTTATTTAGTAGTGGCCTTCAATTCGTGCAAATATATTATTTTTGAGAATTATAGGCAATCAAACCAAAATTAGAAAAATATTTGATGATAGCCTTTTGCTATACTCATAATATGTAATCTTGCATCGTGTGACTTTAGTCACGGACATAATTAATTTTTAAAATCTTACATAATTCAAAATGGCGAAATATTTTCTGTTTATATAAATAATTTTAATGTATTAGTGTCGTCAAAAAATTATCTATGCCTGAAAATGTGTGGCATAAATAGATCTATTTAAATTAAACTGATTTCCGTTTTCTCAACAAACATACATTTTTACAACCATTATCAAAATCTACATAAAATATTAGAAGACCAAAAGACTAAAAAAATTCGTAACAGCGAGTAACTTACTTTTATTTTATTCCGTAAATAAAGTTTAAAAGCATGATTTTGTTCTATAAGGAATCGTAAAGCGGCATCGTTTCATCAAAATGGTTGCCTTTAAAAAAAATACATTTACGACAAGCCACTGGCATTGAATATATGCAAACAAATTAAATTAAATAACTTAAGGCTAAGATGGAAATAATATAGGAAAGGGGATTGTTTTACCTAAACGTTTTAATAGGTACAATAATCAAATCCAAGATTCAATCATTCACATAAAAACTACATATAATTTCATACAGAAATACGGTTAAATATATTTTCTCTTAATCTAAACTACAATCATATTCTTGGTAAGTAACTTTTTTTTTACATTTTCGTAATATGCAATAAATTTAGTAATATTTTATAAACCGTACATAGACAAGTGCTACCTCTATTGTTTTAGCCTGTAAATAGTAATCTATATGATTGTTCAGGTATACCGTTATCGGGATATGATTCAAAACACTGTTTCCTTATAATTTATAAATCGACACTAAAATTATAGCCAGCATAGTAATTGTAAATAATGAAAAATTATGTCATACATAGTAATAACTAAATATGAATTTAAAATATTCAATATATTATTATGACCGCTGAAACATTTTTACTGAAGGAAATAAAATGTTAGCTGGAGAAGTAGACGAGGTATCTTTTAAGATACCCGATAATTTGACATTAATGATCCCTAAAGTTTTCAATACTTGTATTTAAGAAGTATTTGTTTAAGAAAAATATTCAATTCTGTAGGCTCTTTGAAAATACCATGTAAATATTTATCTTTTTTCTAAGTAACCTTAATAAGACAGTTACATGTCTGCATACATTAAAATATACCACATATATAAGTATAAACATTTTATCAAACAACATTGTAGTTTCAAGCAAAACGAATAAATATTTTTTTCTTAAATGTTAAATATCCATTAAATAATATTAAATTTAAATCGAGAATCCATAATACATCGAAGAGAGACTCAATTACTAAGATCCCGTAGAGGTGCTCAGCTGATAAAGTATTACATTTTTAACTATGAATCTCAATTCGAATTAACCATTTACGAAAAATTTCATCTAACAAACATAACTAGCGGCGGCTCTAGTTTCATATGTACTTATGTGAACAAATAAGAATATATTCAAATTTATATATTTTAACTGACAGATATAAAATAATATCTACTATGAAAACTTTAGTGCCAATGTTAACTAAAGACCGCCCTAATATTAGGTAACAAGATCGTGTCGGTAAAAGCGTTGCGTCATTTAGTTTGGTTTATCTTTATCAGTGCCTTCTTTTTCTGATCCTTTTTCTTTTTCTTTCTCCTTCTCTTTGTCCTTCTTCTCCTGCAGTTGTTGTAGATGCGCTGGTAAGGCTTTCAGTATAGCGTGTACCTTGATGTACATAATAATATTAGCTATTGATTTTATAAAGGTGTTCTTGGAAAGTGGAATATTCAACTAAAATATTATTACATTCGACGTATGGAAATGTCTTGTTTCTATTAAGAAAAAAAAACGGGTCTATTAAAATGAAACATTTTGATGAGATATGTATTATAAGTTACCTCTTCTGCAACAGCCATCAGTACGAATTCAAATTGCTGTTTGGTAGCGACAGTGCGTGTGCGTTGATCACGGATGTGTTCCAAAGTAGCTGCGATGTCAATTTCCTTTGCACCTTTAGCCATGCGGTTGAGGACCATGTCGATCAAACAGTATGTACCGGTTCGACCGGCTCCATTACTGCAAAATAATTTACAAGACTCTATATAGGATTCATACAATAGATAGATTGTAAATTAAAGCACTTTTTTTTGACAATGCATAACATTAAAAATAATTCAATCTGTTTAGGGAAGAATCTATGGTTATAAGACTATACGAATAATAACAAAATATTTATGTACAATCCCAGCAAGAATCAAAATCAAGTTATAACGTGTTCTATTAAAATTTTGCAAAACGATTACGAAATCTTAAACAATGGCCAATTTTTCTTAATAGTTATATTTTAGACATAATATTAAAGAACAACATTAAAGAATAGACCTTAAAAATATATATTTTAAAGAAAATTATTGTGTTGTTGATATTATTGCAGTGTCAATAAGGTTTCCATAACGTTAGAAATATTGATTTTCAGAAATACAAATTAATGTCTGAGTACATATGCCCGACAAATTCGATATCGGATCTTCAACTCTTATTCAAGCTATCTTGTATAGATATTATATTTCAAAGGTGCAAAGTGCATACAAGAGTTTATGCTAAATTGTTTAATTACTCCATATTGTATTTTACGCCACGCCCCTTTGTAAATACCATGTTTTAATCATCTTCCAACGTCCCTATACACATAAATATATATGTGGTATGTAATGTTATAGACAAAAGAGCTAACGATAAAGTCCTAACATCTACTATTAGACATGTGTATATTAAGTCAAGACTTCCTTATTTCAGGTTCAACATAAAATCTTCTTTCTATTAGAAAATGGAAAAAAAGCTAGAAAATTAAACGTTACTCTTAAAGTCGATTAAAAATTCTATAAAGAAAACTACTATCTATATCTATCAAACACTCCGGTGCCATGTTGATAATCTTTTAAATTTTAGCAAATTTACTTATTCAGCAGATTACTTACGTATGTAATACAGTTTTATAGCTCATATTTATGTTATAGATAAAATTTATCATAATTAAGCTTTGTCCCTTTTAATATGCGTTATCGAAAAGATTATCTATTAAACGCATGTCGTATATCTTTGACTGATTAAAACATAATATCTCACACAACCATTTTGATAACATATTAGTTACATTGAATACGTGGGAATTATATCTATCGAAAACAATTTTTTTCTCTCTCTCACCTGCAATGGACAACAATCGGACAAGATCTTCCGCGGTAAGACTTATTAACCTTCCTGTAACCAAAACACATAGAAAATTAATAAATAATTAACAGCAGCATTATTGACGAATATAAAATATCCAAGGCTATAACAATCTTTTATGTGCCATACCTTCTGAATTCAAGCAAGGCCTTGGTAGAAGCTGGTACTCCATTCTCTGGCCACGAGAGGAAGTGGAATTGCGTGACAGTGCGGGTTTCGCCAGTACGTTGGTTCTTCAGATAGAAGCTTCGGACCAGATAGTCGTCACACCAAATGTGTTCACTCACGAGATGAACCTATGACAATACCACATTCACGAATTAGGTTCATGTATAGTTTTTATTATTAAATACAGTTTGAAGTTATTATAGAAAATACAATCATTGCACACAAAAACCAAAAATAAATAAATAAAAATCAGAGTTTATAATACCTCATAAATGTGGTACAGTTCTGAACCCTCTTCAGGCCAGTATCGATGACAGAGCTGTTGTCCGTTTTCAGTGAGACGGGTTAGCATCACCATGACTACACTGCCTTGTTCCCACACCATCTGCCAGAAATCCGGAGCTGTTTGCACCAATGGACCAGCTGCCGCTATGTAGGCCGGGTTACGAGGGTCGTGGTCAGTCTGTTACAGAGGATTTAAGTGATAAATTTATGTAATTAGTTTCAGATACTCGATTTAAAGTATGACAACTCACTATCGTGGATGCGTTGATGTAATCAGATCCAAGGTGATTAGAGAGAGTATTCAGAATGACTCTAGAATGGTCGTAAGGTAAGACATCGGCGCAACGGTTCTTGCCGCTATTCTCAGGTTTCAGGGCCGCTGTGGTAGCGCATGGTTCAGCTTCATAAGCACAAAGCGCTCGCCATTCTTGTTCTAGGCGATCCTTGTTTCGGAGATGGTCTTCCATGTAAGCCTAAGGGAGCGATGTTATAATGAATAGTACAGTGTTTTTTTTTATAAAACATTTCTTTACTATCCTGCAACTTACCAGAACCATATGTCCAGTGGAAATGTCCATATTAGTCAAAGCCGGTTCCTCACTCCTACAAAATTGATTCGATAAAAGCTACATTGTCAAAAATCTTTCATAAATATACAGAAATAGGCTTACCAAGATGAAGTGCTTGATCTAGTTGAGGGTGAATTCCCGTCGGGGTCACGTGATAGCGAAGTAATCCTTTGCGGTGGTTCAGTAGGAGGAGCGACTGCGGTCTGCGTGCCCGTCCATTTACCGGACATGCGAGCACGACAAAGTTCCTGATTCATTTCAAATATTCTTCAATTTTTTTTTAAATAGAAACTTCCTATCCTTACTTTATTGGAATAAAATTATTTATAATATCTAAGTGATCTGAGTTTTATACATTATTTAAGACCTGATAATCCCTTGTAGCTTCGGCGTCGATCTCAGCTGCTGAGGCTAAACCCTGCATCTTCCGCCTAGCACTCATGTCTCTCTTCAATAAAACAGCAAACACCACAGCTCCCACGACGAGAACTGACAAACTACCCATAAGTGCTAGTAGTACTGGATAATCCAAACCAAATAGTTGGTTCTCCTTGGACTCGGAGTTACGAATCATTGGGTATTTGCTCTGTAAATATATAAATGGAATGTTAAAATAATTCTTCAAACCTATCACTTTGTTACCGAAAGAAACTCACCCGATCTCCAACTCCAGCCGATTGTATTTGTGCTCCGGTGTCCTTACGCACTTTTTCCTTGATGACGTCTGAAATTTAATGTATTGGAATATATGGAATAATCGAATTGATTATTTGATGAGATTCTCACTTACCAATTTGCTTAGCAACATCTGCTGCATCGTAGCCTTTGCTATTTTTTTCTACTTTAAAAGTGACTTCACTGGGATCAACTCTGCAAAATATTTAATTAACAATATTATTGCTTCAGTAAAATATAAAAAAGCAACCACAGAAAAGGCCATTTACCGAGGATTTGTAAACGTATTTTTTTCTAAGCCCAACATCTCTTCAAGACGTGTTATGAATGAAATACCTTTCTCCCAGTCAGTCAAAAACCTGGTAAGAGAAAGTAATAGGCGTTTAAGCTAAGCGATGTCAAAAATATATTAAGAAAAAAAATCAATCACTCCATGGGAACATCATTGTTACGTCATACCTATTATGAAAAGTTACAAACGCGTAGGATGGATCGTAGTCATAATCGTTGTGATCGTGGTCCGACATGATCTGATTCTGATTGGATGATTGAGCTGAAATAAAAACTAAATGTTGGACACTGCTAGTAACATGTCAATAAATAAAATAATTAATTATCGAGACGGCAGTTCACAGAGGATTTTAATATCATGCAATTTGGTTCTTGAATTGACACAAGAAAGCCTTAAAAACACAAATAACCTATTGGGTACAATCATATCATTATTATTTATATTTATTTTTGAATGTAAAAAAACTGTTTAAAGTTATTTTCTTTTAACTCGATTCAAAAAGTAAAGCAGTTTTTTTACACAGGAAATATTTTTACAAATACAGTTTACACGTTATGACTTAAGCCAAAATCATTGAGACAAATTAGTGAATTCAAACTTGAAAATATAAGAAAAATAAACAGAACAAAATAAAATAAATTAAAAGACATTTCAGGAGAACGACAGACTCATGCGTTTCGTGTTATCAAGACAGTGTGCTGCAGAGGGTAAACATTTAGTGCGGTTTTTCTAGGATACGACGTGGCGGTGCAACAATCCATAAAATTAAAATTAATTATCCATGACGAACGCTAGACCAGCACATATTTGGAACCATTGGGCACAAACATCGAGAGTCTAAAACAGTCACAGGCCACCTCTCAGGCCACCGTGACACTAACCTGTCACTGATTTATTGTTGTATAAAATCTTTAATGCTTTTGCGTCCACACGCGGCCCAGGCTTTTTAACATCATCTCTTTCCCTACGCTTAAATCCCCATTCTCTATTAACTAAGTCTTGCAAATCTTGAGATAAATAAAATTTTGAATTTTCACCTGAAACATCACCGATTTTGGTAAAAACTAATTTGCGGTGTAAATTTTTGAGTTCTCACCATGTATTGTGATGTTGTTTTGAAAAGAACAGAATTAACAAAAAAATAACAGAAACCAAAACCTAGAGAAGAAAGTCTTTTGTTATAGTTAGTTAATAGCCTGATAAAGATTTGTATATTACGCTTACATCAGAAATGCTATTGCAGTGCCTAAATAAACAGAAATAATATTGAAATAAGATATCTTAAATTTTAATACACACAGTAAAGAATAAAATATGCATACCTTGCAATTCATCCGTTTTTAATGGACCACCTTCAGCATATAAATTTTCTTGTGGTTTTAATTTTGCACCAACAATTTCACGCCAATAGTTCATTAAATATTCCATGTTCTTTGGATTTTTTTCTTTGGAATTGTTTTCTAAAAGATTTTAAAATATTAGTACCTAAATTGTTTCAGAATGATATACAGTTGTAGGATGAAATACCCACCCTTTTGATAAGTTGTTCCTCCGTCTTCATTTAATTCACTCGATGAGGTTTCTACATAGCCCCTTGCTTCTGAAAGATCTTCTGGGTTTTCATATTCAAATGGGAAGTTCTTCTCTAGAAAGCTTTGTTTGTATTTTTCCAGAGCGTTTGATCGAACTTCTTCATCCAATGGCGAGAATCTGTTAGCAGTCAAGTATTCTGCTGTGAAGGGCGGTGGTTTTATTTTGTATTTACGAAAATGAGCCAATAATCGTTCTTCATCAGGAAGTTCATTGACTGGTTTTTCTTGATTATTATTTACGTTCAAGGACTTTTTTTCTTTGTCATAATTGATGATACTGTCTTTAGGTACATGATGACGTGCTTCTTCTTCAGCTTGTAAACGTTCTCTAAAACCTTCAAATGGTACGATCACAGGTGATTCGACCCCACTCATTAGCATTATATTTCGTATTTTATCATTTGTGTCTTCATCGGATTCTAAATCTTCAATTTTCATAGACGAATCATCGCCTAAAAATATGTGTTTCACATGTCAGAACAGAAAAGTTGATTCAATAAATAAAATTGTATATCCTATAGACGGCATGAAAGGAAACAACCCTACCAAAAAGAATAAATTTAGAATATATGTAAATTTTTATGAATCAGGGGTCTACAAAATAGATTCCCTTTCATATTTCCGTCACTTTACCCTAAAATGGATGGTAATCTTAAATATAAAAAGAGATTTATAAATAGAAACCATTCTTTTTATTTCAATACATTTAGATACAAAAGTGAATCATATCATATAAAATTACGTCGATAATAATTAATGAAGTAATTGTTTAGAGAATATAAATTAATTTAATATTACTTCCTAATTAAATGATATAAATGCTTTTCGAAATTGAATTATACATCAATTAGACGAAATGTCCGTTAATTTTCATTCTCAATTATTGTGTAACATTTTAATCAAATCATTTGTATATTAAAGTGAATACCTTTAGGTTCTTCATCGTCAAGTAACGGTGGATTATACACTTCATTTGCATAATCTGAGTCAATCAATTTAGAGTTTGGTACGAATCTTATGTACGCTGTTTCATCAGGGTTAGCCTAAAATGTATCGTGTTTATTAGAACCGAATAACGTCAAACTATTTCATTTCTAGCAATAAAAAAAACTCACATCCAAGGTTTCGTCTCCTACGTCTGTTACTCCCGCACTTAGCTTGGGATCCGCGAAATGCTCACATAGCTTTGAGTTTACTTGATTTGGATCCCTGTGGAGATATTGTTGTAAACATCATATATGTAGTTTTAAGCGATTCATTCACTATATCAAGCCATCAAATACTCACAGGTGATGTCGCAGTGCGTACAACATACTTTGCAGCATACATTGTGTGAACGCATGTTCCCAACGGTAACCTTGTGCTGCTAGCTGCTGCAATTCCCTCTCAAACCACTGCAGCTGCGTAGAGCTCATGTCATATCTTTAAAAACGTCAAATTATGTTAATGCTATTGAGATTTCATTCACAATATTGTGATGTACAGAAATTACTTACTGGTAAAGTGACCGCTCTTCGGGATCGTTGTCATAGATCGGTATGCATTTACCAAATGCGAAATCTGAAAAGAAATATACGTGCTGGTACATTTTTCTAATGGAAACTAAACTATGTTATATATTATATCTTACCATCATAGCACCACTCCGCTCCGTCAATGCATAAGGACGAGCTAAACAAACAACCTAAAAAAGAAATAATTTTGTTCTGTTTCAAGTAGATAAACTTAAATAACAAACACAATTTCCTTGAAGTAGCCTTGAGCTGATAACTTAGAAAATATTATTCTATTTTATATTAACATCAATAAACTATTAATTATATATTCACCAATATTCCCGTCGGCGTTCGAGGGCGCCAGCGTGCATATCACCGCCAGCGCCCACAGAGCCTGCCGATAGCACGTACGGCTCATTACATCTGAAAACATAAACCTACATTAGAAATCAAACAATTATAAGAAACAAATCAAAAAATCGTTCGTTTGTGAACAGTTATTTCTGTACAATACATGTATAAATGTCCCTTAATATAACTTTATGTTGTTGTCTTAAAGACGTAAAGAAACCAAATAAATACTTTAGAACAGAAATGTAATTAGAAAATAAATTAACTAAAATAAAAGGAACAGAATTAAAGAAAATTAGTAGTTGAGGGTATATTTTGCTCCAATTTAAACTTTACTTCAAAAAATATCTCCTGTGTTTACCGTAATAAAAAACTTCATAATAAAAAAGTTTTATATGCAAGCAAAGTATTGGTAAGCTAATATAGGTAATATTGGATATAAAAGTTAAGAACTTTGCATCGTTTTTAGACTACGATATAAAACAAAGTTTTTAAAATTTTATAATCCCTATCTCTATACGATTATTACTTAAAATGTTTTAATATTCATTCATCAAAGTATAAAAAACCAAATAGAAATCTTTAGTGTCTGTCACAGCTATGAAATTACAAATAAACGCTTTAAATCAACAGGTGGTTGGAAAAACCTTCAAAGTTCTGTTAAAAAGTTTCTTCTCATTTTAACACCGTAGCATCATTTTCAGATTTTAAAAAGATTTCTTTATATTTTATAATCAATGTACCCAACGTCATTCTCAGTATTAAAAAGTACTTTCCATCTATACAGTTATACTAAAGATCTAAATCAAATTCTGTCCAAAAACATAATTAATTTTATAAAACTATATAAATACGAATGGTAAAAGAAAATAATTGTAATCCAACGGCTAAAAATAATTTCACACGTATTATATAACCTAAGTAAACTATAAATAGGTTCTATGAATCCAAGTCGATAAAAATATATCCTGATACATTGAAATAACCACCTCCGACCGAGCGGGGAAAACAGGAGGTACACAAAGAAAAATCTATTAATAGACAGGCAAATGCCAGGGGTTGCTATCGAATACAGTGGAACAAATTGAGGAAATCCTTGAATGTACATCCTACATATGCATTTCAAATATACTAGATATCTAAACTATTTGTTTCTTTTATAGATATTATTGTAATAGATTGTATTACAACGCAAACACACGAAAATCTATAAATTGTTAGCTCTGACGTAGGCGCTCATGCCCTTTAGGTACTGCCCACGCAAACCGGGAATGGCGAAAATATTTTATCTCAATTTATTATTTCTATTTTTAAGCGGAAATCATTATAAACATACTAATACAATAACATTATACGAAATATTTTCTAATACTATTTATTGAAAGTATCATCTAAAATACTAATAATTAAAAGGAATGTTTAGAATCGAACTTAATTGTATTAAGTATAGAATTTTAGTTGTAATAGATCTCTAAATCTATGTTTTTTTTTATATAAATTGCCATTTTTTCTTCGTCATTAATCATATCTAGCGCACAAACAAACAAATCATAACATTTTATTATACGTCTTATATCATAATTTCTAGTGCAGCCCTCATTAAGGGTGTGTTACAAAACATACATTACAAAATATTAACAGTACATACCGTTTAGATCCGCCAAAAAAGCCGGAACATATCCGTGATAATAAATTCTTCCCAGAGCGTGACGCCGTTTAGAACGACTTGTACGATAAGATGCAAAGACTACAGCTGTACTTAGTTGGTGGGACCTGCGCACTCCGCTGTATCGATCATGCGCCCGTCCATTCACACGATGCCACTTCCCCGCCTACATAACGACACGATTCCACTGGATGTTATACTTCAATCATCATTAGATAACGTGATATTAGCGATCCCTCTCAAAGCTTCCACACTTAAACAGCTACCGTCAGGAATGGATCGACTGAATAAATAGCAATTTCGATTTGGGTTGGTAATGTAGTGGTAATAATGCAATAATGATCCACAATACGATATAGGTTCTGTAATGTGTCAGCTTTTGCGATCGTCACAAGGGATAGTAATGGCGCCCACTCGGCACGTTATCGGGGAACAGTGTTATACATGCTAATGACACTGAAGTGATAAAGCCATAGTCGATACTTCGTTAGCTACAAAATATACGCAAATATATATTCTAGCTGCTTTTATAACATTTTTAACCATAATAAAACGATTATATCAATAAAGAGGAGGACTGAAATCTTCAATTAAAATTGTTTAACTGAAACGCAATTAGTTTTTATATTCCCAGTATTTATATTAAATATATGACAACATGTTATGGACTTGTTATGCTGTATGAATATTCAATTTTCTTATTAAGAACCTAACCTACTTATTCACACTAATTTGACTATCTAAAGTTAAGTGACAGTTTAAATAAAGCATGACTTTAATATACATACGAGTATTTGCTTAACAAAAACTTAATTGTAAGATAGGATTTCGTGTACTTAATGTAGTACATAAGTAGGTCGACAAATAATGCTATATACACATAGTATACAAACTACGTATAGACATTAATTTGTAAAAAGAAGGCGGCAGTGAACTAATGGATTTCAGTTCTGTCCTTGATAACACGCGGAGGTCAGATTAACATCATTCACTTAAACATAATTAACAATGCCGGTAGTACCGTCCTTTTCACATTTTTACATTGAAGTTTCGTATGTATTACGATAGATATTAGAAATATAAGAAGATTTTGTTGATATGTATGAAGAGAGCTTTATACAAATATATTGAATTGCGTGGGAGGTTCTTAAGGCTTTATTGGATATCAAGATAAAGGATCTTGGACGTCTGATGTAGAGAAGATAAACTGCACTAAACGATCGATCCAATGTACTATCTCCTTATATTATTTCTACTAGGTCATCGGTAGGTTATACGGGGCAGATTTATAGTAACTTTTGTTCCCTTATTCAGTTTTGTTGACTTATTGATTAAGTCTTACAACATTTGCAGATTTCATATCACAATGCCTTTCTGATTTCATAATTAAACCACTTGTCAACAATTATTAAAAAGAAGTCTATTTTTTCTGTCTGTCTATGTTACCTTATAGCCTTACTTATGTCTTACTTGCAGGTAAGGGATAAAGTGGGAAGCGCTTTACAGAATAGCGAGAACAAATAGGATGGTGGCAATGCTTAACAAATTTCTGCGGGTACTCGGTTTTCTTTGTGTGTTGTTGTATCATTCAATGTAATAAAGAACCTTAAATTTATATAATTATATTGAAATTAAAATGCGTACTGAGATCTAAGACTTTCGCGAGTATCCATTTAAATGAAACTAATACCTATTATTCGGATTACTACGCGAATTTTATTATTTTAAAACTACATACTCCCGATGTTTCATAATTTCTCTCAACTCGTCTGCCCGTACTCACGGTTGCTGAAAAGTATGGGATAACATGGATATCTTGTATCATTTAATTGTGACATGAAAAACGCGATTTTGAGACAAGCTCAAAATGTTTTTTTTAATAATGTTACTGTCCAAAATGATACGAAGTTTTACGACGGTCCATTGCGTTGTAGAGAAAGAGTTTTCATAGTGCCTGGGACTTACTACTCAAGTGTAGATTTAAAGGGCCTCTATCTATCCCGCATTAAATGCTCATCTCCACCGTCCAAGCTCTATCTACCTAAGCAAATTGAAACGAACCTACGAAGCCTTCGAAGTACGTTTTAAAAATGAAATGATGTCGGTTCTGAACACTTTTTTACTAACAACCTGTTTACATTAAATCAATAAAAAATATATTTATGATACAATTTATATATATTGTATAAGAAATGCCAATAAGTGTGGACTTAAGACGAATGATCTTCTTTAACTTATAAATGTTTAATACGCGGTGTTTTATTTTTCCTTTGACGCCAAGACAATAACTTTCAAAACTTTTATGTATAAATTTTATGTTATAAATTTTAATATTTATACGGTAATGCATTTATAACCTTAAAAGTCCATATACATAAAAGGAGATGCTGCATCTCTATTTAGATTAAGGTACTGTTCCACATGTTTATTTAAAGTACGGTGGCATGCTTCAATTGAGCCCTTGCTACGTAATAGCATGAGTATTGAAATGTTGCTCAAAATTAGCATGTAATTTTGAGCATGCTTTAAAATCGACAGGCGTGTGATTTTTGATCATGCTACTAGCGGCGGGAGAGGGTGTGCTTTAAGCTGGTCTAAACAGGTTTGATTATTGAGCATGCTAGTACCGAATACCGATCAATCATTTGCAAGAGATGCAAAACTTCACTTAAAATGTATCACTGGGGTGACGAAAAGACGCTCAAATTTGTAAATTTATATCATAAAAATGAGTGCTTGGTGAATCCTCGCCTACCACAGTATAAAAATAATGTTGATAGAAATAATGAGAGCGAAAAAAGCACATAATAAAATGGCGTATGTATTTGAAGTGTTTGCTTTGAGCATACTTAAAACTAGCATGTCTATTGCTCCCAAATGTAAACTGCTCCTAAGCATGTATTGGATATACTCAATAGCACTCTTTTTAGTATGTATATTGAGAGCATGTGTAATAATAGCCTTAATGTTGAAAAATACTTTTAATTATTAGACAACACTTAAAATCGATCTAAATTTCTTGAGTAGTTTTCTACAAACTGAAAAAAAATTACCGAAAGATGATACCGACACTCGTCACAGCTTTTCGTCTTGTCTAAGCAAGGAACTCTCATTTAATGTTACCGGGTTTTTCCTGTCATAATAAACTGTACCTTCAATCAACTTGATAATTAACTGATTATTCCGATGGATGATAAAACAGTTTCAATCTCAGATGATACATATGTCGTTTGTTATTTATTGAAATAAATCCTAGCACCTCCTCTCAAACCGCTAGTATCGGACGACAATATTACTATTCTTCAAAACAATAGGATAACTTGAGTGTATTCCGATAGCCTTTACCAGATGAAGAATCAATATATAATACACAGTTAATAGGTTACAGTTTAGGTGTAGAG